CACATGGCCTCTCCTATCATTGCTACGCAGACGATACACAACTAATCTTCTCCTTTCCCCCTTCTTATAACCAGGTGGCAAATCGGAGCTGCTTTTCCTCCCGGGGAAGGACTGCCCATTCCATGATCTCGCCATCACGGTTGACAACTCCGTTGTGTCCTCCTCCCAGAGTGCGAAGAGCCTTGGCGTGACCCTGGACAACACCCTGTCGTTCTCCGCTAACATCAAGGTGGTGACCCGATCCTGTAGGTTCATGCTCTACAACATTCAGAGAGTACGGCCCTGCCTTACACAGGAAGCGGCACAGGTCCTAATCCAGGCACTTGCCATCTCCCGTCTGGATTACTGCAACTCGCTGTTGGCTGGGCTCCCTGCCTGTGCCATTAAACCCCTACAACTCATCCAGAATGCCGCAGCCCGTCTGGTGTTCAACCTTTCCAAGTTCTCTCACGTCACCCCACTCCTCCGTACACTCCACTGGCTTCCAGTTGAAGCTCGCATCTGCTACAAGACCATGGTGCTTGCCTATGGAGCTGTGAGGGGAACGGCACCTTCGTACCTTCAGGCTCTGATCAGTCCCTACACCCAAACGAGGGCATTGCGTTCATCCACCTCTGGCCTGCTGGCCCCCCTACCTCTGCGGAAGCACAGTACCCGCTCAGCCCAGTCAAAACTGTTCGCTGCTCTGGCACCCCAATGGTGGAACAAGCTCCCTCACGACGCCAGGACAGCGGAGACACTCACCACCTTCCGGAGACATTTGAAACCCCACCTCTTTAAGGAATACCTGGGATAGGATAAAGTAAACCTTCTAACCCCCCTTACCCCACCCCACCCCCAAAAAACAAAACAAAAAACATATTGTAAAGTGGTTATCTCACTGGCTATAAGGTGAATGCACCAATTTGTAAGTCGCTCTGGATAAGAGCGTCTGCTAAATGACATAAATGTAAATGTAATAGTCCTTTGTTGCTCTCCACTATGATTGATGATGTATTCTCCCAGGTGTGACCAGATATTGGGAGGTCATTTTTTGCAGATGACTAGGTGCTGTGAAAGAGAGGAAGAAATATTCCCCAAACAGCCGGGAGAGTTGAAGAAGCGATCAGAGAAGTTGAGCTGTGGTCCCTCAGGTGGCTTCAAGTTCTCAGTTGAGAAAACAGACTGTGTGTTTTACTAGAAGGATGGTTGGAGAGGAAATATGCCTGAAGCTGTACGGGAAGAATCTGGAGAGGGTGGGAGTGTTTAGTATTTTATTAGGATCCCCATTAGCTACTCTAATGTACATTCTGATTGAGTGACAGCAAACTTGCCTGCCCGCTGTAAATTGAGGACACACATACACACCCAACCCTCTTCGCGCTGCTCCTAATCTGCAGCTTTTTTGCAGTGAGAACGTGCAGGGAGGTATTTTGCAGACAACTATTTAGGCATATTTAACACTTACGTTTTTTCCGATCATGAGTATTATCCGATCCTACCATCAACTGGCAATTTACGGATATGATTACGAATACGAGTATGGCCATGTCGGCACACCCCTACCAGACACACTTGTCTAAATTGATGGGTCATGTGAAAAAAATTTATAACCACCCCCAACCTACATCTAGCTAAGTGGATAGGTCACTATTGTCTAGACATGTTCATGAAATACAGTGGTATGAAAAAGTATTTGCCCCCTTTCTAATTTTCTCTACTTTTGCATATTTGTGATACTGAATGTTATCAGATCTTCAACCAAATCCTAATATTAGATAAAGGGAACATAAGTGAACAAATAACACAACAATTACATATTTATTTCATAAACAAAGTTATGCAACACCCAATTCCCCTGTGTGAAAAAGTAATTGCCCCCTTACACTCAATAACTGGTTGTGCCACCTTTATCTGCAATGACTCCAACCAAATGCTTCCTGTAGTTGTTGATCAGTCTCTCACATCGCTGTGGAGGAATTTTGGCCCACTCTTCCCTGCAGAACTGCTTTAACTCTGTGACGTGTGGGTTTTTAAGCATGAACTGCTCGTTTCAAGTCCTGCAACAACATCTCAATTGGGATTAGGTCTGGACTTTGACTAGGCCATTCCAAAACGTCCAATTTGTTGCTTTTTAGCAATTTTCATGTAGACTTGATTTGTGTGTTTTGGATCATTGTCTTGCTGCATGACCCAGCTGCGCTTCAGCTTCAGCTCACAGATGGATGGTCTGACATTCTCCTGTAGAATTCTCTGATACAGAGCAGAATTCATGGTTCCTTCTATTAAAGCAAGTCGTCCAGGTCCTGAGGCAGCAAAGCATCCCCAAACCATCACACCACCACCACCATGCTTGACCTTTGGTATGATGTTCTTACTGTGGAATGCAGTGTTTGGTCATGCAGCAAGACAATGATCCAAAACACACAATCAAGTCTACATGAAAATTGCTAAAAAGCAACAAATTGGACGTTTTGGAATGGCCTAGTCAAAGTCCAGACCTAATCCCAATTTTGATGTTTTGGCAGGACTTGAAACGAGCAGTTCATGCTTGAAAACCCACACGTCAGTGAGTTAAAGCAGTTCTGCATGGAAGAGTGGGCCAAAATTCCTCCACAGCGATGTGAGAGACTGATCAACAACTACAGGAAGCATTTGGTTGGAGTCATTGCAGATAAAGGTGGCACAACCAGTTATTGAGTGTAAGGGGGCAATTACTTTTTCACACAGGGGAATTGGGTGTTGCATAACTTTGTTTATGAAATAAATGAAATAAATATGTAATTGTTGTGTTATTTGTTCACTTATGTTCCCTTTATCTAATATTAGGTTTTGGTTGAAGATCTGATAACATTCAGTATCACAAATATGCAAAAGTAGAGAAAATTAGAAATGGGGCAAATACTTTTTCATACCACTGTATATCTACCGAGGAGTACTTTAAAAAGGCCACTGATTACCATAAGTGAAATATAGCAACAAAATATCTCTTAGTTCCCAAGTCCAGATAATGAATGTTACTACATCAAAAAGGATAATGCTTTATCTTTCTCTTGTGCGAGAACTTGGATTCATCTATCACCACCAATCTCCATAGAGAACATGACCCAATTTGAAAACCCTTCCTCCTCTTGAACCTCCTCAGGGCTTTGTTGCAGATCTTCAATAATGACAGGGAAGACAAATGTTAGTGATATGAGAAGACTTGAGTGTCCCATGGAAGCATGACCCACAACTATAGGAGGGGCACTGAAATCAAATCTCACCTAGGGTCCCAAATCATATTGAGCTGACAATGCTCCTGTCTCATGTGGAAATACACATGTTCATTTCAAAATCCTTGGGTCAGGTAAAAACAGTATTGGATTTGGGCGCGCACTTTAAGAGTTTAAATTTGTATCCAGCTGGAAATTGTCATGAAATACCCACATGTGTCACGTTCGTTTAAGGACGGGTCAGACCAAGGCGCAGCGTGAAAGGCATACATGTTTATTTCACCGAACAAAACAACAACCCAAACGAAACGTGAAGTCCTAAGGCTACACACAATACAAGATCCCACAACTAATGATACCAATAGGCTGCCTAAGTATGATCCCCAATCAGAGACAACGAGCGACAGCTGTCTCTGATTGGGAATCACACCCGGCCAAACATAGACATACAACACCTAGAATATAAACATAGAAAACACAACAGAACACCACACCCTGACTCAACATACCAGAGTCCCATAAGTCAGGGCGTGACAACGTGCAGGAAATTGTAGTAACGTTCACTGGTTCACATGTTGTTGAGCGACTCAAGGACAAAAGCGCAGTGATAGTCAACGGTGACCAAGGAGAACCAAGGTAAATAAATAGTAAGATATTAATGTAGTTACAATTTAGAGAACATTTTACATTTACATTTTAGTCATTTAGCAGACGCTCTTATCCAGAGCGACTTACAGTTAGTGAATACATATATTATTATTTTTTATACTGGCCCCCCGTGGGAATCAAACCCACAACCCTGGCGTTGCAAACGCCATGCTCTATCAACTGAGCTACATCCCTGCCGGCCATTCCCTCCCCTACCCTGGACGACGCTGGCCCAATTGTGCGCCGCCCATGAGTCTCCCGGTCGCGGCCGGCTGCGACAGAGCCTGGATTCGAACCAGGATCTCTAGTGGCACAGTTAGCACTGCGATGCAGTGCCTTAGACCACTGCGCCACTCAGGAGAACAAAAGGCGTAAATCACTGCTCCCTATCACTTATAAGTTCAAATAAACATTGATTGATTATGCACACTCATTCACACACACACACACATACACATGTACAGACACACACACACTGGGTATAGATAATTTAAGAGAAGTAAGAGTAAGATACAGTGTGTTCCCGCAAAAAAATAATATGTTGGTCTCTTTTCTGAGATGGCAAGGAACTGCTCCATATTCCCTATAAATGTGATTTTGCACACATTTATGTTTAACTGTTGAGGATATAGCATGTTCTGGCAGTAAATTCACAAATATATACAGTATATATATTGTTCTCATCTGTTTTCTGAAATTAGGTGAACTGCACAAGGAACCGCTCCTTGCTCCATTTAATCTATAATGATGATGTGGAACCATTGAGGATACAGTGTGTTAATCTTAGATTTTAGTAACATTCCTGGCAAGTCACACTTTTGATTTTGTGTGTATAATAAAGTACACATTATGTTTACATCTTTTAAAAGAGCCCTCCTGTCCTCCTTATCTGACTAACCTCCATCAATAACGCCCAGTTCGCCCAGTTCACCACTGATTGTGTTGTTGACGATACTTGTTTTACTAGCCTGAGTTATAATACTCTTCACTGCCATTCATTTTTCACATCGTGAATTGTACAAAAATTCAAATTAATTGTGTGTTTGGTGTTGGCTTACCTAGGCCTGACGTTTGTGATAACCGTGTGGTTCTCTCTCGGACAAGTTGGGAGTTCCCTGTCAAGAGGAGAGACACGGCTTAGCTAGCCTGGAGCCTCAAATGGAGGACGCTAACAAACGTTTTCAACACTGCAGGAGCAGTGTTTATTTTACTTTATTCCGGGACAATGTGGACTGCCCAGACGTTCAATGTAGCAACTGTTTGCTTGCAGAGGACTACAGTGACGAAGTGGCTACTCTTAGCAAACAGGTAGCGAACCTACACAAGCTCCTGGGGAATCCACGCCCGCCTATTTTTTCCTTTATCTTCCACCCCAGTAGCTGGATGCCACTCTGGCCTGGTGGAAGTGTTGCAGCCGTGTCAGCTCTCCACAGCCGACTGGCCGGTACTCTTCAGGGATCCCTCCCAGAAGGGGTCTCCCACTTCCCTGGAGAATGGAGTTGGTGGGATGCTCCTGGATGACTTGGTGGATGTTCCTGTTCTCGATCCTACCAACCAGCCATGGAGCAAATGGCGTCCTCTGGCAATGGGGGCCTCCTTGGAGATGTTAAGCCCAGACATGACACAGACTAGATAAAGCTTCGCCACCCTGGAACCAGAGGCTCCGGCGCCTTCCCTGAGGGCTTCCGATTACAGATCGGATCCGAAGGTACTGTACCTGCACCTTAGTCCTCTGTTCTGTCTCCCTCTCCGATGGCTTCTACCTCAGGTTCAGATCCTCAGAGCGCACACCCTCAACAGACCGTGAGGCTGTCTGAAACTCCGGCCCATTCATCATCCATGATGGATACCACAGCTGGCTCGGGTGCATCAGACCCCAGGTTTGTGAAACCACTCGAGGCGAAAGAACGGCCTGACTTCCTCAACCATTGCATCAGCTGTCGTCATCAGCAGTTCTATGGTAAGGAACATCACGGTTCCCGGGGCAAAAACCCTGTGCTATCTTGAAGCACGAGTCCAGGACATATCAAGGCTGCTTCCGACCGTTCTACAACAGCTGCCGGGAACTGACGCTGTCGGAGTCCATGTGGAGTCAAACGACATTAGGAGGGCTAGCTCGGAACTTCTGAAAGATTCCAAAAAGCGGCCAAATTATTTCAGGTCCGGTACCATCGTTGGGCCGCGGGTGTGAAAGATTCAGCAGGCTACTGGCATTACACACCTGGCTAAAATATTACTGTAGCTCTGTTGGAATCACTTTTAGAAATAACTTTGAAACCTTCTGGAAACAGAAGATGCCCTACAGGAATGATGGAGTCTATCCTAATCATCTTGGCTCCTGGACTCTGTCCAAGCATTTCAAGGCTGCGTTGAGACAATTAGTTATGTATGACCAAAGTCGAGCTGAGTTAATCCCTACAATTGTGTAGCTGAGTTGTCATAATGCTGCAGCAAATGTACATTATCGCAGGGGTGTTGGCAGACACAATGTACATAACCTAATTAATGTCCTTCTAATTGCCCTGAATGCCTATGTTGATCCTACAGCTATTGTGTACAGCAGTCATGTGCCTATGAACCAGAGTTATACTGTTAGCACTTAGGCAGTGTGCCCTAGTAGGAAGTCCACTGTGTGCAGCTCACCCTGCACTATCAGCTTAAACATCAATATCATGAGCATGTCTACTTCTGCTAAGCTTCCCAGTAAAGCAATGAAAACAATCAAGCATCCCAGAAAAGTGCTAAAAACAGCCCACATGAACATATGTAGCCTAAAAAACAAGGTTCTTGAAATCAATAACTTGCTAGTAACAGATGACATTCATATTCAGACTATCTCTGAAGCTCACTTAGATAATACATTTGATGATACAGTGGTAGCAATACATGGATATAACATCTACAGAAAATACAGAAATGTCAGTGGTGGAGGTGTTGCTGTTTATATTTGGAACCACATTCATGTAAAGATTAGAGAGGATCTCATGTTAAATACTGTTTAAGTAATAGGGCTACAGGTTAATCTGCCTCACCTAAAGCCCATTCTTCTGCGAAGCTGCTATAGACCACCAAGTGCTAACAGTCAGTATCTGGATAATATGTGTGAAATCAAATCAAATCAAAATGTATTTGTGACATGCGCCGAATACAACAGGTCTTACTTACAAGCCCTTAACCAACTATTAAGAAAATAGATTTAAGAAAATATTTACTAAATGTGATTTGTTTCAGGAAACTAGGCGTATGTCACGCGTCACTACTTCATAGGAGAGCCATTTGAACGTAAACTTTTTTTTATTTTTATCAATGCGTTATTTGGCAGGAATGCCTTCTGGAACATGTGAACTTTCATGTGCCTTAATAACAAACGTGTATGCCATCTGTAAATACGAATAAAATTGTTAAATTACGAGCCTAGTTGGTTTAGCCACAGAAAAAGACAGCAACCTTCCCGCTATTTTCTACATTGTAGAATAATAAAAACTATGAAATAACACATATGAAAATGGCGCTTACAGAGAAGGCTGCCTCGCTTCTAGTCCTTAGGAAACGTTGCAGTATATAGTTTTTTCTGTATTATTTCTTACATTGTTAGCTCAGAAAATCTTAAGTGTTATTACATACAGCCGGGAAGAACTATTGGATATCAGAGCGGCGTCAACTTACCAACACTACGACCAGGAATACGACTTTCACGAAGTGGATCCTTTGTCCGTACCACCCAGGGCATTGGAACTGATTCCAAAGGCCGACCCAAATCAAGCCGCCGGAGGAGAGGCAGCCAGAACGCTCTTCTAGTCAGACTTAGGAGGCGCGCACACCGCCCATCGCTTCCAAGTGTATTACTCGCTAATGTTCAGTCCCTAGATAACAAAGTGGATGAGATAAGTGCAATGGTTGCTTTCCAGAGAGACATCAGGGATTGTAACATACTCTGTTTTACGGAAACATGGCTCTCTCGGGATATACTGTCCCCATCCATACAGCCATCTGGGTTCTCAGTACATCACGCTGACTGGAATAAACATCTCTCCGGGAAGAAGACGGGTGGGGTGGTTTGTTTCATGATTAACAACTCATGGTGTAATTGTAACAACATACAGGAACTCAAGTCAGTTTGTTCACCTGACCTAGAATTCCTCAGAATCAAATGCCGACCGTATTATCTCCGAAGAGAATTCTCTTTGGATATTGTTACAGCCGTGTATATCCCCCCTCGAGCCGATACCACGACGGCCCTCAAGGAACTTCACTGGACTTTATGCAAACAGGAAACCATATATCCTGAGGCTGCATTTATTGTAGCTGGGGATTTTAACAAAGCAAATTTGAGAAAAAGGCTACCTAAATTCTATCAGCATATTGACTGTAGCACTCGCACTGGAAAAACACTGGATCACTGCTACACTAATTTCCGCTCTGCATACAAGGCCCTCCCCTGACCTCCTTTCGGCAAGTCTGACCACGACTCCATTTTGCTCCTCTCTTTCTATAGGCAGAAACTCAAACGGGAAGCACCATGCTAAGGACTATTCAATGCTGGTCTGACCAATCGGAATCCACGTAGCATTCGCGATAAACTGAAAGCACGAACCACCGCATTTAACCATGGTAAGGTGACGGGGAATATGGCAGAATACAAACAGAGTGGTCGTTCCCTCCGCAAGGAAATCAAACAGGCAAAACTTCAATATCGAGACAAAGTGAAGCCGCAATTCAACGGCTCAGACACGTGATGTATGTGGCAGGGTTTACAGACAATCACGGACTCCAATAGGAAAACCAGCCACGTCCCGGACACCGACGTCTTGATGCCAGACAAGCTAAACAAGTTCTTTGCCCGCTTTGAGGATAATACAGTGCCACCGACGCGGCCAGCTACCAAGAACTGTGGGCTCTCCTTCTCCGTGGCCGACGTGAGTAAGACATTTAAATGTGTTAACCCTCGCAAGGCTGCCGGCCCAGACAGCATTCCTAGCCGCGTCCTCAGAGCATGCGCAGACCACCTGGCTGGTGTGTTACGGACATATTCAATGTCTCCCTATCCCAGTCTGCTGTCCCCACATGCTTTAAGATTGCCACCATTGTTCCTGTACCCAAGAATTTAAAGGTAACTGAACTAAATGACTATCGCCCTGTAGCACTCACTTCTGTCATCATGAAGTGCTTTGAAAGACAAGGATCATATCACCTCCACCTTACCTGTCACCCTAGACCCACTTCAATTTGCTTACCGCCCCAATAGGTCCACAGACGATGCAATCGACGCTCGGAATAACATCTGCTAACCATGTGTATGTGACCAATACATTTGATTGATAACCAAAAAAGTGTTAAAGAAATCGAAATATATTTTATATTTAAGATTCTTCAAATAGCCACCCTTTGCCTTGATGACTGCTTTGCACACTCTTGGCATTCTCTCAACCAGCTTCACCTGGAATGCTTTTCCAACAGTCTTGAAGGAGTTCCCACATATGCTGAGCACTTGTTGACTGTTTTTCCTTCATTCTGCAGTCCGACTCATCCCAAACCATCTCAATTTGGTTGAGGTCAGGGGATTGTGGAGGGCATGGGATGGATATTTTCACTCTGGCTGGATTCCAATAGGAATTACACATCACTTTGCAAGCAAGCATGATGTGACTTGCAGGCTTGATGTAGCCTGTAAACCAGGAGTTTCAGACCACGTTAGGGTGTAACTAGGCCCTCAAAGAAAGGCCTTATGATATATACTATGTAATGTGTTGCAATAACTTTTCACTGGGAAATGTGCAAATAAGGTTAAATACATTGTCAAGTTGAATTGTATGATCTCTCAACCTAAAATTCTAAGTTGAGTGAACATACAATTCAACTTGACAAAGTATGTTGGTTCAGCTATATGCCCAAATGTTGAGCAAACTCACAATCTTATTGCAGCTGGTTGCCTTACAAATGCATGTTGAATCTTCTTTTTTTTTCTTTGTGCATGGTACTGTGTCCACATCACAATGTGTAGGTGCTAGGGTGTGTGCCATGGCTGGCATTGGTCAGTGGCCTACCAGTCAGTGGTTTGACATTGGTATTACATTGGAATACAACGACACATTCGAGAATGATTTGAATTGTTCGCTTTTTGAGAACAGACGGTGTTAAGTTTTGTGTATGGAGCATGTGACATGCATGTTAATGGCGGGTTGTTAAAAGGGGTGTGTCTTGTTTTTACTCTGTGTAGAGCTTGCAGACGGCACGTTCAGAAGAGGACAGGGACACCCTTTGGGACCCCTGGGGCTCCTGGAGTGAATGTTCTCGCACCTGTGGAGGAGGGGCCTCGTACTCACTTCGACGCTGCCTCAGCTCAAAGTAAGACACTCAGCCGCTTATCCTCTCTCTCTCCCCTCTCCTGCTCTCTTCCCCTCTCACCTAGTCTATTTTACTCTCCAATGTCTTCTGTTTTTGCTTGTGTGTGTGTATCAAATCAAATTGTATTCGTCACATGCTTCGAAAACATCCATGGGCAATTTGTAAGCTTTTGCTGAAACTTGGCTGAGGTAATATCCTTCCTCAAAGACTGACCAATTGGACTGGTTTCCATTAAGTCCAACATGATGGAAGAGGGGTGGGTCCCTCTTGCTCCGTGGTTTATGTCCTGCCAAATGAACCCAGACGGAGTCCCTAATAGTGTGAGTAAATCTCACCGCGAGCACCGTTCCTATGGGCTATAATAGAAGTGCTCAAAATACATTTTATATGACTGTTAACCTCTTAAGGATTGGATCCTTTTTTTCAATTTTCGCCTAAAATGACATACCCAAATCTAACTGCCTGTAGCTCAGGACCTGAAGCAGAGATATATATATTCTTGATACCATTTGAAAGGAAACACTTTGAAGTTTGTGGAAATGTGAAAGTAATGTAGGAGAATATAACACATTAGAAATGGTAAAAGATAATACAAACAAAAAAACATGCTTTTTCTATTATCATTTTTGTTCCATGATCTTTGAAACGCAAGAGAAAGGCCACAATATAATATTGCAGTTTAAGCACAATTTAGAGTTTGGCCATTAGATGGAAGCAGTGTGTGGAAAGTTTCAGATTGATCCAGTGCAATACTGGACTATTTTGTATCAAGTCTGCCCAAATGTGCCGAATTGGTCAATTAATACATTTTCAAGTACATAACTATAGAGAACATACAAAAATTATATGGTAATACAAAACGTAAGTTTACACCTTCCCAGGAATGTTATACATGATGGATCATTAGCTTATGCACTAACTTTCACACATTTGGATGGCCGGGCGGGGTGGGTGTGGAGCCAGAGACAGCAGGGGTTCAAACTTTAGAACCCAGTTCCTACATTTGAATATAAAAATTGATTTTATCAAACAAAACTATGCTACATTTTATCTCTGGGACCCTTAGGATGACAAATCAGAGCAAGATTACTGAATGTAAGTACATTATTTACTTTCAGAGGTGAATGTATCAAACCAGTTGCCTTGATAAGTATTTTGTTGTTGTGCACTCTCCTCAAACAATAGCATGGTATTTTTTCACTGTAATAGCTACTGTAAATTGGACAGTGCAGTTGGATTAACAAGACTTTAAGCTTTCTGCCCATATAAGACATGTCTACGTCCTGGAAAGTTTGCAGTTACTTACAATAGTCATGCTAATCACATTAGCGCACGCTAGCTCAACCATCCCATATACGGGACACCGATCCCGTAGAGGTTAAAGAGCCCTGAAGGGTTAACAGAGAGATCTATTGTGTTTCCCCACATCCAATGAGCCCTGGCCTCCATCTGTGCTTCAACCAAAAGTTGACGGAAAATGTGAGGCGCCCTGATTATCGATAACGAGTTAAGCGTGTTTCTTAAATCAGAGCCACCTTGGAGGAGGCAGCTCAATGAGAAGCACAAGCAGCACACTAAAATCTCAAAGGCTGACGGGAACACACGAAGAAGCCAATGACAAAAATATTGGGAGAAAGAGATGGAGACAGCGTATGTTGTCACATTTATATACGGGGCGGGGAGATAATTAGTGCAGGATAGTTGCTTGTCACCAAGGAAAAGGGTGGCTACTTTAAATAATCTAAAATCTAACATCTATTTGGATTTCTTTAACACTTTTTTGGTTACTGCATAGAAAATAGTAAAAATAAATAATTTAAACTGGTACCGGGGGACCTTCAGACAAGTCTTGAGAGTTCTGTGGGTCCAAACCATCTGACCCAGATGTTTCTTGGGGGTCTAGTTTAAGGAGCTCCTTCAGCACCTCGGACTCAGTCACCGCCTGCAGGGAGAAACTATGCAGGGGAAAAAGAGGGAGGAGCATCGGGACTAGTTTCATTAGAAAGGGTGGGAGATGAGGAAATGTTGGACGGGCAAGGAGGCATGACTGAGTCAAATAGCAATCCTGACTTAATGAAGTGGTGATTAAAGAGCTCAGCCATGTGCTCCTTGTCAGTAACAACCAGATCATCAACATTAAGGGACATGGGCAGCTGTGAGGAGGAGGGTTTATTCTCCCGGTCTTTAACCGTTTTCCAGAACTTCTTGGAGTTGGACCCACAGAGAGAGAACTGCTCCTTAAAGTAACTAAATTTGACCTTCCGGATAGCCTGAGTGCACTTATTTCTCATTTTTCTGAATGAGACTCAGTCAGCCTGAGTATGCATGTGCCGAGCCTTCCCCAAATGAAATTCTTGAGGTGGAGTAACTCGTGCAGATCACGGTCGAACCAGGGGCTGAACCTGTTTTTAATTATCATTTTCTTTATGGGGGCATGTTTGTTAACAATACCACTGAAAATATGAAAAAAGAATGTCCAAGAGTCTTCGACAGAGGGGATCAAGCTGATTCTATACCAATTTACAGAGGCCAGGTCATGAAGGAAGGATTGCTCATTCAAGTTTTGTAGCAAGCGTCTATGACAAATCAGTACAGGTCGTTTCACTGAGCAGCCATTACGAACACAGGCTGTAAAACAGTGATCACTAAGGTCATTACACAAAACACCAGACTGATACCTATCAGGAATATTTGTGAGGATAACATCAAGGAGAGTAGCCTTTTCTGGGTGTTTGGAGTCATACAGTTGTGGTCAAAGGTTTTGAGAATGACACAAGTATTGGTCTCCACAAAGTTTGCTGCCTCTGTGTTGATGATGGCAATTTGCATATACTCCAGAATATCATGAAGAGTGGTCAGATGAATTGCAATTAACTGCAAAGTCCCTCTTTGCCATGAAAATGAACTTAATCCCCAAAAAACATTTCCAATGCATTTCAGCCCTGCCACAAAAGGACCAGCTGCCATCATGTCAGTGATTGTCTCGTTAACACAGGGGAAAGTGTTGACGAGGACAAGGCTGGAGATCACTCTGTCATGCTGTTTGAGTCAGAATAACAGACTGGAAGCTTTAAAAGTGCTTGAAATCATTGTTCTTCCTCTGTCAACCATGGTTACCTGCAAGGAAACACGTGCCGTGATCACTGCTTTGCACAAAAAGGGCTTCACAGGCCAGGATATTGCTGCTAGTAAGATTGCACCTAAATCAACCATTTATCGGATCATCAAGAACTTCAAGGAGAGAGGTTCAATTGTTATGAAGAAGGCGTCAGGGCACCCAAGAAAGTCCAGCAAGCGCCAGGACCATCTCCTAAAGTTGATTCCACTGCAGGATCGGGGCACCACCAGTGCAGAGCTTGCTCAGGAATGGCAGCAGGCAGGTGTGAGTGTATCTGCACGCACAGTGAGGCGAAGACTTTTGGAGGATGGCCTGGTGTCAAGAAGGGCAGCAAAGAAGCCACTTCTCTCCAGGAAAAACATCAGGGACAGACTGATATTCTGCAAAAGGTACAGGGATTGGACTGCTGAGGACTGGGGTAGAGTCATTTTCTCTTATGAATCCCGGAGAAGACAAGGTGTCCTGTGTCATGCCAACAGTAAAGCATCCTTAGACCATTCATGTGTGGGGTTGCTTCTCAGCCAAGGGAGTGGGCTTACTCACAATTTTGCCTAAGAACACAGCCATGAATAAAGAATGGTACTAAAACATATTTCGAGAGCAACTTCTCCCAACCATCCAAGAACAGTTTGGTGACTACCAATGCCTTTTCCAGCATGATGGAGCACCTTGCCATAAGGCAAAAGTGATAACTAAGTGGCTCGGGGAACAAAACATTGACATTTTGGGTCCATGGCCAGGATAACATTGAGAACTTGTGGTCGATCCTCAAGAGGTGGGTGGGCAAACAAAAACCCACAACTTTTGACAAACTCCAAGCATTGATTATGCAAGAATGGGCTGGCATCAGTCAGGATGTGGCCCAGAAGTTAATTGACAGCATGCCAGGGCGGATTGCAGAGGTCTTGAAAAAAAAGGGTCAACAATGCAAATATTGACTCTTTGCATAAACTGAATGTCATTTTCAATGAAAGCCTTTGACACTTATGGTATGATTGTAATTATACTTCAGTGTACCATAGTAACTACTGACATAAAGATCTAAGAACACTGAAGCAGCAAACTTTGTGGAGACCAATACTTGTGTCATTCTCAAAACTTTTGACCATGACTGTACATTGTGGGATTGGTAATAATCTAAGAAAGATTTAGGGAGTCCCATTGCTTTAGGACTTGGTCAGGTGGTTTAAGCATGTCCCAGTTTAGGCCACCTCGCAGGTCAAATTCAGACTTAGTGTAAGGGGCCAGGAGAGAGCTTAGGGCATTTATGGTACAGGCCGGTGCTGATGGTGAACGATAACACCCAGCAATAGTCAACAAAGAGCTATTTGAAAGTTTAATGCTTAAAACCAGCAAATCACATTGTTTGGGGACAGACTTGGTGGAGACAACCGAGCACTGAAGGTGTTCCTTGGTAAAGATTGCCACTCCATTAACTTTGGAAGATCTGTCTTGCTGAAAAAGGTTATACAGCGCCTTGCAAAAGTATTCAACCCCCTTGGTGTTTTTCCTATTTTGTTGCATTACAACCTGTAATTAAAATTTATTTTTATTTGGATTTCATGTAATGGACATACACAAAATAGTCCAAATTAGTGAAGTGAAATGAAAAAAAATAACTTGTTTCAAAACATTCAAAAAAATAAATAACGGAAAAGTGGTGCGTGCATATGTATTCACCCTTTTGCTATGAAGCCCCTAAATAAGATCTGGTGCAAACAATTACATTCAGAAGTCACATAATTAGTTAAATAAAGTCCACTGTGTGCAATCTAAGTGTCATATGATCTCAGTATATATACACCTGTTCTGAAAGGCCCCAGAGTCTGCAACACCACTAAGCAAGGGGCACCACCAAGCAAGCGGCACCATGAAGACCAAGGAGCTCTCCAAACAGGTCAGGGACAAAGTTGTGGAGAAGTACAGATCAGGGTTGGGTTATAACAAAAAATATCAGACATTTTGAACATTCCACGGAGCGCCATTAAATACATTATTCAAAAATTGAAAGAATATGGCACCACAACAAACCTGCCAAGAGAGGGCCGCCCAACAAAACTCATGGACCAGGCAAGGAGGGCATTAATCCGAGAGGCAACATTAAGAGCAAAGATAACCCTGGAGCTACAAAGCTCCACAGCGGAGATTGGAGTATCTGTCCATAGGACCACTTTAAGCCATACACTCCACACTGTTGGGCTTTACGGAAGAGTGGCCAGAAAAAAGCCATTGCTTCAAGAAAAAAATAAGCAAACATGTTTTGTGTTCGCCAAAACACATGTTGGAGACTCCCCAACATATGGAAGAAGGTACTCTAGTCAGATGAGACTAAAATTGAGCTTTTTGGCCATCAAGGAAAACGCTATGTCTGGCGCAAACCCAACACCTCTCAACACCGTTTTTTTCATCGGCAGAGACTGGGAAACTGGTCAGAATTGAAGGAATGATGGATGGCGCTAAATACAGGGCTTCCAGAGATTTGAGACTGGGACGGAGGTTCACCTTCCAGCAGGACAATGACCTTAAGTATACTGCTAAAGCAACACTTGAGTGGTTTAAGGGGAAACATTTAAATGGAATGGAATAGCCTAGTCAACGCCCAGACCTCAATCCAATTGAGAATCTGTCGTATGACCAGCGGAACCCATCCAACTTGAAGGAGCTGGAGCAGTTTTTCCTTGAAGAATGGGCAAATATCCCAGTGGCTAGATGTGCCAAGCTTATAGAGACATACCCCAAGTGTTATGTGAATTATTTAACAAACTATTTCAGTGTCTCTGTGCGTCTCCCAAAAGGTTGTAAGTCTTTTGGATTTAAGAAACGGACAGAGTCTCGGTCTGCATAGTCAGAGATTTTATTAATTGAGAATTCTGCCATCACAATTTCAGAGACTTTTATACTCATACGTCATACAAAAATCACTCCTCTCTGTAGGCAAGCTGTAGTTTTCCACTTTATAATTGCTCTCCTGACCAATAATTCACACACACACACACATACACACATGCATACACACACATTGCACACACATTTACACATTTACACACATACATTTTCTTATCATAGTCTCTCTCCTCACTAAATTCCTCAGTTATCTTGGTTTCTCAGTTGCCTGTAGACAGTTCTCCTTGTCCTTTGTTGTCTGGCCTAACTCTTATTGCTACTACTTGCTAAATAGTAGCACAATGTCATAATCTTTACTGGTCCTACACTCACACATTACCAGGTAGTAGATTCTAACACATCTCACACAGTTTCAGAGTGTAATAATTAGTCACTACTAAGAAAGTACTAATCATACTTAAAACAAGAACATTTCACAACTATATTTAAGGGTGGAACATTTAGTCATTACTTTTAACCTGTATATAGAATTAATTTCTATATCAATCCACACTTTGACTATATTATCCACACTTTAATACACAGAAAATCATTACAATTACTTTTAAACTAGATATTTATAGTTCTAGGAAAACATCCAGTCTCAAACTATCTGAATCGTCGTCATCCTCCACCAAGCCTGGTGGGTCATTTCTTCATTCCGGGATTGGGCCGTATCTCACCATCTGCTGTGATACTGCAACTCCAACGCCTTGCTCACCAACCCTCGGACACAGGGAATAAGACAACATCCACAAAGAACAAGCATACCCATAGATGCGATTGCCTCGCCTAAAATAGTTACAACAATAGTTTTCCATTTACCAAACATGTTATCAAATCAACCAGTCATTGATGTATTCACCCCCCAGTTCTCAGCCCATTCTTTACTTAATGCAGTGAGACCTGCCAGTGCTCTAGTTACTGTACCATCTGGGGCTGTATTGTTGGGGATAAACCTACAACAATGACCTCACACCATCTTGCAAATCCGCCCTTCTCTGCTAAAAGCATTTCGAGAACCAAACTATTCTGCAGGTCATGAGTGAGGTGGCAGATAGTTGGCCTGAGATTCTCTTCACTGCATCCATTGTCTAATTAACAAACCTTTGTAGATGTAATTAATCCAGTCAACATTTTTATCAATTGTAACCCACCAGAAAAAGTTGTTGTAAACCCTTCTCCAATTTGATCTGTGATTCACATTATTTTGGTGTGTATAACATTGATAATCTCCGGGGTTCATGGTGTATTGGGGTGCCTTAGTATTATCCTTTTTAAGAGTGGTTATTTTAATATCAGAACAATTAGGTGAGGTTTGGTTTGATCCCAAATCTATCACACAAGAGAACATGGTCTGAGGCATAGGTGCAGTTACAAGGGTTGGCCTGCCTGTTGAACAGGCATAACAATTAGTTTGACCCAACGCCCTAGATGAGTTCCCCAGGTATGTTTAAACACCCTTGCCCAAGGACATGAGCGTTCCCCAGTGCAAATGTATTTACCATACCTTCTAGGACCTAACTTTCTTGTACACGCCCCCTTCTTACCAAAGCCCCCAAAACCTCCTATCTCTTCATGGGAGAAGTCTAATGGTATCTTGAATCCCCCATCTTGTCCTAAACTGACTTTAACTATTAAAATAATAATTCCCCCAATAGTCTTTCTTGGTTTCAGTATTTCTATGAGATCAAATCAGTGCACCATTTCCCTGTTTAGGTTGATCTGGATTAATCCATAATATGGTTAACATGATGATGCAGCTCAGAGTCCCCCAAAATCCCCAAAAGCGCCATCCCAATCCTGTCCCTGACCCACCTGCCTGGTACTTCCCCATACCCACACCTCTATAAACACCCCACAGTGATGAAAGGTCGGGGTAGGGTTTCTTCATTAACAGAGTTTACCCCCGAACCCTAGTGAGTCAGTTCTTCTCTTTAACTCTGTGTGTGTTCAACGGTGTTGGTATATGGGCCTACCTTTTTGCAGTGGGTAACGTGGACCTAAGTGGCTCTCTCAGCTATTCTTATAGCGAAGGCAGTTACCAATAGGACTTGGTATGGTCCCTCCCAGCGTGACTGCTTTCAATCCTTTTTCCTCAACGATTGGATCCACACCCAGTCTCCAGGTTATATACTATGAATCACCTTCTCCTTTAATTCTCCTGTAGGACACAAATTCTTAGACATACGGGTATGGTTAACGAACAATGTTCTCATGTGTTCTGCTAGTGTATTCTCTAGTTCTATGTCTGCCTGTTCTGGTCCTGCCAACTGTGGCATTCTGTAAGGTCTTCCAAACACTTTCTCAAAGGGGGATAACCCATCTTTATCTGGGGTTACTCTAAATTTCTTCCCTTCACTCCGTGATAACTCTATAAAATCTATTTCCAATTGCTGGAAGGGGTACTTAGCCGGAGGATACTCATCCTGAGGTGCCCTTTGTCTGCCCTGGTGATTATTTTGAGCACAGATAACACATCTTGAACAAAAGTTTAATTTTTTAAATAATTAGTAATCCCATATGCAACAAAGTGTTGTCTAATCTGCTCTACCATCCATCCCTCCTGTTGACACATGGCTCTGCCCGTGTGTCAATATTGCATCTTAAAGACCTCCTCTCATGCCTTTAGAATTTACCAGTGTGGATGATCAATTAACACCAGAAAGTCAAAACAGAGTTCAGAGGCAATTGAAATAATTCAACGAACTGTTCCATCCCATAGTATACTAAACATTACCATCATTCTAAATATTTCATAGATGTTACTTATCCCAAGTGTTCATTAAGTCCTCATGACATTTATTCTCATAAGAAATCATGTATACCCTAAACTCCTTTAAGACTTATCACCTTTGACCTGTTGAAAACCCCCTAAAATCAAAATAACAAGGCTTACTAAACATCATACTAGGTGTGTTGTTTTTTATTTGAAAACCCCAATTAAAAAACAACAAACCAAAATAGCCAGGTCATGAGGATTCCTGCCTCAGTTTCTTAACTGGTGCCCTTTCCTTGCACAGTAACTACACGGTTCCTCACATTCTCTAGCAAAATGTCCAATTTTCTCACAATTGTAACACTTCCACTCACTCCTGTCTCCACTATTACCGTTTCCTTCTTGTCTGTCTTTGCTACCGTAACCTCTCTTCTCTCCTAGGTATTGACTAATAGTCTCGCTGTCTCCCTGTTTACACTCATGGACTTTGGAGAAGTCGGCATGTCTGTGATAATAGTCTCTCAGATTATCACAGAGTTGTGCCAATTTATCTCCATAGGCCCCTCCTTCTGCCCACTCCAGAACCGGCGCATTCCATTCCGGGAACCCAGTTTCCTCTCACTGCCGCCCAGTCCTTTAACACTATCTGTCTGACACCCTCTCTAGTTCCCCTGTATTCAGCTTAAAGCTGGCGGTCAGCCATTCCATATCTCTTCTGAACTGGTGTTGTCAGGGCTGAGGTGTATGTGGTGTGGGAGTCAGGCGCAGGACACCGAAGCTTAGTCCAACAAAGTTTACTTGTGAACCACAAGGCAAAGATACAAAGAACGGCCTCAAAACGACAGAGGCGAGCAATTACGCAACTATGCGTAAAACAACAAAACAGAGAAAAACACGCAGCACTACGGACAGGCGAAAAACAACACACAACCTAACCAATACAACACAGGCAGCTTATAGAACACGTAATCAGACACAAACGGACACAGGTGTGACAGACAGACAAAAGCAATCACACATAGAAACATTCAACGGTGGCAGCTAGTACTCCGGGGACGATGAACGCCGAAGCCTGCCCGAACCAGGAGGAGGAGCAGCCTCGGCAGAATCCGTGACAGTACCCCCCCCTTGACGCGCGGCTCCAGCCGTGCGCCGACCCCGGCCTCGGGGACGGCCAGGAGGACGCGGACCCGGGCGCGTGGGATGCCCACGGTGGAACTCCGTCAGGAGGGATGGATCTAGGATGTCCTTCCTAGGCACCCAGCACCGTTCCTCCGGACAGTACCCCTCCCACTCCACGAGATACTGGAGACCACTCATCCGGCGCCTCGAGTCCAAGATGGTCCGGACCCTGTACGCCGGGGCACCCTCGATGTCCAAAGGGGGCGGAGGGGTCTCTCCTATCTCATGTTCTTGGAGTGGGCCAGCTACCACCGGCCTGAGAAGAGACACATTGAACGAGGGGTTAATATTATTGTACTCAATAGTCAGTTGTAACCTGTAACACACCTCGTTCAATCTTCTCAGGACTTTAAAGGGCCCCACAAACCGCCGACCCAGCTTCCGGCAGGGCAGGCGGAGGGGCAGGTTTCGAGTCGAGAGCCAGACTCGATCTCCCGGTGCGTACACCGGTCCCTCACTGCGGTAGCGATCGGCGCTCGCCTTTTGTCGACGGATGGCCCGCTGCAGATGGACATGGGCAGCGTCCCACGTCTCCTCCGAGCGCCGAATCCACTCATCCACCGCAGGGGCCTCGATCTGGCTCTCGTGCCAAGGTGCCAGGACCGGCTGATACCCTAAAACACACTGGAAAGGTGTTAAATTGGTGGAGGAGTGGCGGAGAGAGTTCTGGGCCATCTCTGCCCAGGGGATATACCTAGACCACTCCTCCGGCCGGCCCTGGCAATAGGACCTCAGAAACCTACCCACATCCTGGTTGACTCGTTCAACCTGCCCATTGCTCTCTGGGTGGTACCCCGAGGTAAGGCTCACCAAGACCCCCAAGCGTTCCATGAACGCCCCCCAGACTCTGGAGGTGAACTGGGGACCTCGGTCAGACACAATATCCTCGGGGACCCCATAGTGCCGGAACACGTGGGTAAATAGGGCCTCAGCGGTCTGTAGGGCAGTAGGGAGACCCGGCATTGGGAGGAGACGACAGGCCTTGGAAAACCGATCCACAACGACCAAAATGGTGGTATTCCCCTGGGAGGGGGGTAGGTCGGTCACAAAATCCACCGAGAGGTGGGACCATGGTCGTTGTGGAACGGGCAGGGGATGTAACTTTCCCCTGGGAAAATGTCTAGGTGCCTTACACTGGGCGCACACCGAGCAGGAGGAGACATAAACCCTCACATCCTTAGCTAACGTTGGCCACCAGTATTTCACGCTAAGGCAGTGGACTGTCCGGCCAATACCTGGATGTCCAGAGGAGGGTGATGTATGAGCCCAATAGATAAGGCGATCACGAACCTCGAGCGGAACGTACGTCCGCCCCACAGGACACTCGGGGGGAGTAGGGTCGGTACGCAGTGCCCGCTCGATCTCCGCATCGACCTCCCACACCACCGGAGCCACCAGACAAGACTCCGGCAGTATGGGAGTAGGTTCAATGGACCTCTCCTCTGTGTCATACCGCCGGGACAGGGCGTCTGCCTTACCGTTCTGGGACCCTGGGATGTATGTGATCTTAAAAACAAACCGGGTCAGGAACATGTTCCACCTAGCCTGACGAGGGTTCAATCTCCTAGCTGCCCGGATGTACTCCAGGTTACGGTGGTCAGTCAGAATGAGGAAAGGGTGTTGAGCCCCCTCAAGCCAATGCCTCCACACCTTTAGGGCCTGGACTACAGCTAACAGCTCCCTGTCCCCTACGTCATAATTACGCTCCGCCGAGCTGAGCTTCTTAGAATAGAACGCACAGGGGCGGAGCTTAGGTGGCGTTCCGGACCGTTGCAACAGGACTGCCCCAATACCGGCCTCGGACGCGTCCACCTCTACTTGGAATGGTAAAGAGGGATCCGGATGCGCCAGCACCGGAGCCGAGGTGAACAGGTTTTTCATTTTGACAAATGCCCTGTCCGCCTCAGCTGATCACTGCAAGCGAACCGAACCCCCCTTTAACAGGGACGTAATGGGAGCTGCAACCTGTCCAAAGCCCCGGATAAACCTCCGGTAGTAATTAGCAAAACCCAAAAACTGCTGCACCTCTTTTACAGTGGTTGGAGTTTGCCAATTACGCACGGCCGACACACGGTCAACCTCTATCTTCACACCAGATGCGGACAACCGATAACCCAAAAAGGAGACGGACTCCTGGAAGAACAAGCATTTCTCTGCCTTGGCATACAAGTCATGCTCCAACAGTCTCCTCAACACTCGGCGCACCAGGGCTACATGCTCGGCTCGTGTAGAAGAGTACACTAGGAGGTCGTCGATGTATACTACCACACCCTGCCCATGCATGTCCCGGAAAATCTCGTCAACAAAGGATTGGAAGACTGAAGGAGCATTCATCAACCCGTATGGCATGACGAGATACTCGTAATGACCCGAGGTGGTGCTAAATGCTGTTTTTCATTCATCCCCCTCCCTAATGCGCACCAGATTGTACGCGCTCCTGAGATCCAACTTTGTGAAGAACCGCGCTCCGCGTAATGATTCTGTCATAGTCGCAATCAGTGGAAGAGGGTAACTGTACTTAACCGTGATCTGATTGAGACTACGGTAATCAATACACGGGCGCAAACCCCCGTCCTTCTTCTTCACAAAAAAGAAACTTGAGGAAAACCGGGGAAGTGGAGGACCGTATGTATCCCTGTGCCAAGGACTCGGCTATGTAAGTCTCCATAGCCGCTGTCTCCTCTTGAGACAGGGGATACACACGGCTCCGCGGAAGTGCCGCTCCTGTTTGGAGATCTATCGCACAATCCCCCTGTCTATGAGGTGGTAGCCGTGTTGCCCTCGTTTTGCTGAACACAAGTGCTAAATCCTCATATTCAGGGGGAATGCGCATTGCGGGCACTTGGTTCGGACTCTCCACCGAGGTCGCCCCTAAGGAAACACCTAGACATCTCCCTACACACTGGGCAGACCACTCCATAAGAGCCCTCTGTTGCCACGCAATGGTAGGATCATGGGCGCTTAACCAGGGAAGCCCCAGCACCACGGGATACGCAGGAGAGTCAATCAGATAAAACTGAATGATCTCCTCATGACCCCCCTGCGTCGTCATCTTAAGTGGTGCTGTGACTTCTCTGATCAACCCCGACCCCAATGGCCGGCTGTCTAGGGCATGAACAGTAAAGGGGGCTTCTACCGGCCGAAGGGGAATTCCTAACCTATAACAAAATGCACGATCAACAAAATTCCCAGCTGCGCCTGAATCTACTAGCGCCTTATGCTGGGAATGAGGTGCCACCTGTGGAAATCTCACAGGTATACACATGTGACCAACAGAGAGCTCTGGGTAAGTGGGGCGCCTACTCACCTGGAATGACTCCCCAGTGCGTGACCTGTTGTCCCCTCTCCCAGGAGACCCTCCCCAGCACCTGGCCGCGGTGTGTCCTCCACGGCCAAAGTTGGTGCAGGGGATGGCCCCCCTCGGGCTCTCTCTCCTCCTCTCTCTAGCGCCAGCACCTCCGAGCTCCATGGGAATCGGCTCGGAGGTGCTGGAGGGTGGAATGGACGACCCCCACTCGGGACGTCCGCGGGTAGCCAGCAGGGTGTCGAGACGGATGGAGATGTCCACCAACTGGTCGAAGGATAGGTTGGTGTCCCTGCAGGCCAGCTCACGACGAACGTCCTCTCGTAGGCTACACCGGTAATGGTCGATGAGGGCCCTCTCATTCCACCCCGCATCCGCCGCTAGAGTCCGGAACTCCAGGGCGAACTCCTGTGCGCTCCTCTTCCCCTGTCGGAGGTGGAACAGACGCTCCCCCGCCGCCTTCCCCTCAGGTGGATGATCGAAGACAGTCCTGAAGCGGCGGGAGAACTCCGCGTAGGTGATGGTAGCGGCGTCTATTCCCCTCCATTCGGCGTTGGCCCACTCCAACGCCTTGCCGGATAGACAGGAGATGAGGGCGGAGACGCTCTCGTATCCCGAGGGCGCTGGGTGTATGGTGGCCAGGTAGAGTTCCACCTGCAGGAGGAACCCCTGACACCCGGCTGCAGAACCATCATATGCCCTCGGGAGCGAGAGCCGAATGCCACTGGGTCCCGGTGCTGAGAGAGGAGGACTGGCCGTTGGTGACGGGATGGTGTGAGAAGGCGTGGGCACCTCTCCCGTAACCAACCGGCGCAGAGTGTTGGACACCTCGTTCATGGCGGCCCCAAGTTGCCGGATCATGGTGTCTTGGTCGCTGATCCGATCCTCCAGCGACTAGGGTGCCGCCACTGCTCCTGCTGACTCCATACTGGTGTGTTGTTCTGTCAGGGCTGAGGTGTATGTGGTGTGGGAGTCAGGCGCAGGACACCGAAGCTTAGTCCAACAAAGTTTACTTGTGAACCACAAGGCAAAGATACAAAGAACGGCCTCAAAACGACAGAGGCGAGCAATTACGCAACTATGCGTAAAACAACAAAACAGAGAAAAACACGCAGCACTACGGACAGGCGAAAAACAACACACAACCTAACCAATACAACACAGGCAACTTATAGAACATGTAATCAGACACAAACGGACACAGGTGTGACAGACAGACAAAAGCAATCACACATAGAAACATTCAACGGTGGCAGCTAGTACTCCGGGGACGACGAACACCGAAGCCTGCCCGAACCAGGAGGAGGAGCAGCCTCGGCAGAATCCGTGACAGGTGTACCCCCATTTTAGGGTGGGGTATCCCTTCCACTGCTCTCACTACATCTCTTTGCTTCGTTTACTAAATCCTGGCATTAGTAAATTCTATCCACACACCACCAAAAACGAATAACATATTTGCATACACATAACTAGAAAGCATGAATTTAATGCCATTCTTGCTTAAACAATGCAATTCAACATTTCTTATCACCCAATTTCTATTACTTTTTTTTTTCACACAGGAAACCCTGTACAATCTCTATCCTCTATTGCTGACTTTCCATCTAACATTACTTTTCAACATTTCTCAAATCTAATTACCTCTGTTATCAACTAAAATTATAGCCACCTCTTATGAAACCCCCAATCTGTCATTGTTTAGAATACAGCAGATATAGGTAACTGTTCTTTCTAAGTAGACTACAAATAACACCAAACACATGCCGTAGTTGACCAGCATATATTTAATTTATCTCCATAGTATTAATATCCAATGTAGTGATTGACGTTCCTTAATGGAAACCCTAAATTGGCTTTGTACAATATTATATTAATGATGTCTCACCCATGACGTATGTCTACGTTTGGGTGAGCAAGTTAATATATAATTATTATTCCAATTATTATTTTATGAAGTCTCTAGCCTCTCATCCAACACAAATCCCCATCATCAAATATACTCCCAGCAGAACTGAAAAAAACAAAACAAAACAGACTGTGATTTCCAGGACACTGCTCCTTTGTTCTGGCCTCACTATCTCTCCGAGAGTTGGCACTCCCTTAAGGTCTCTCTTACTCCTCTTTCTCTCTCCCAATCTGCTCTTGGTAAACTGCATACTTTTTTAACCTCAATATGTGTTGCTGTGCTTTTCTCCACCCTATCAAAGTATTTTTAATGGTCCTGCTTATCTCTGGTCTCATTCCACTGAGGAACGCTATATTTTTAATTGCTGATGGTAGGGCGTATCATTCCCCTGTCTCTGGTCTGGCTCGGGTATGCCACTGTTTGCGTTAAACACATCTTTAACCCTCTCTAAGTACTGGCTGACAGTCTCACTGTCATCTTGTTTACACTTATGTACTTTAGAGAAGTCTGCATGATGATGGTAATGTTCTCTGAGGCTATTACACAATTCAGTTATTTTCCCAACATACCCTCCGTCATCGGCCCATGGCAAAAGTGCCCTCTGGGCATCCCCTGATACCCACTGCCCTCTAACGGCAGCCCAATCCTTACTATTCCTGTTTTGGGGTACGTCATTCTTTCTACCGCTCTGGTCACGCTCCTCTGTGTTCATGGCCTGTATACATCTAAAGTTGCTGGGGCCCCTTTCATTCCCCGCCAATAGATTAGGTAAGGCTATCAGTGGGTACTAGCCCCCTCCTACTCTCTCATCTCCTGACTCATACTGACTCCCTCCTGAGCTTAGCTCTGAATCCTCCCGTTCCTCTCTTTTCTGTTTCTTTAGATCATTACCACAATTTACATGCATTTGTTTAATCATGGACTCTAGTTTAATTACTCTCTTTTCTGTTTAATTTAGATCAGTACCACCATTTACATGCATTTGTTTAATCATGGATTCCAGTTTAATTACATCAAGTCGCCCAGTAAAGCCATTTTTTTTTCAATTAGGTAAATAATACACATTTTGTTTGTCTCTAATTTCCATGTATTTCTCGTCCCCAGTAAATCCTGGGACCTCTTGTGAGGATTTGCCTCCCATGGTTGGTACTGTTAAAAATCCCTTAGCCACCTCTTCTATATAACAAGTTATTCAAAACAGTTTCACACAGCAATTGGAATCACCCCTTCCTGTATAGGTACTAGTCCCCCAGAATTATCTCCTACTCTACGGAGGAATTCATCACCACAATGTAATCTTGATCATTCCTGACAGTCTCATACAACAGGAATGGGTTCTCCCTCCTCTTGCCACCTCTTCTATATAACAAGTTAGTTAAAACAGTTTCACACCACACCTGGAATCACCCCTTCCTGTATAGGTACTAGTCCCCCAGAATTATCTCCTATTCTACAGAGGAATTTATCCTCACTCTGTAATCTTGATCATTCCTGACAGCCCCATACAACAGGAATGGGTTCTCCCTCTTTTCTATACAACCACCTGGAATTATTCATAGATGTGACTTTTGAGCAAATATTAGGTCTCACACGTATACAACCTTACATGATTATTGGTTAACACCATCGGTAACCCGGAGTTTGTAAGGCTCCAGTTTCATGAAACGGATAGAGTTACGGCAAAATCTACAGTTGTTTGTGACTTTTGACTTTACTAATATTCTATTTCTCACACATGCTATTTTAATTCCTTCTGGTGTACACCCCTCCCTGTATTTCTTTATCCCGGATTATTTGTTGAACATTACTGTTCTATAATCTACTACAGGTTCTCTGAATACAGGGTAGTTTCTTTTGGTAATTGGCCTATTACCGTGAATCGTTACGGACCCACCAACGTTAAATTGGCTACAACCTTAAATCGGCGACCTTAAAATGGCTACGCATTGATACATTTGCTACTTTAAATTATGACGTTACCCTCAGTCAATATTTTAGCAAGTTTTCAAATCAATTCCACCAAGTAATGAATAAAGACTACTGACCTTATCCTTGCAGCCGAGATTCAATGTAGATTTGGATTCCGTCTCTGTCATTAATCAGGTGTCCTCTGGCCTGTCTTAACCCTTAATGTCAAAGGGCAGGACTTTCTATTTACGAATGTATCATTCGCCCGTCGACGGTTTTCAGAGTTACCTGGAATGACAGAGGCAGGTATTGGAATCCGGCTCGAAGGACCAAGCTGTTATGTGAATCATTTAACAAACTATTTCAGTGTCTCTTTGCATCTCCCAAAAGGTTGTAAGTCTTTTGGATTTAAGAAACGGACAGAGTCTCGGTCTGCATAGTCAGAGATTTTATTCATTGAGAATTCTGCCATCACAATTTCAGAGTCCATCTTTTATACTCATAAGTCATACAAAAATCCCTCCTCTCTGTAGGCAGGCTGTAGTTTTCCACTTTATAATAATTGCTCTCCTGACCATCAATTCACACACACACACACACACACACATACACACATGCATACACACACACGTATACACACACACACACATGCATACACACACATATGCACACACATATACACATTCACACACATACATTTTCTTATCATAGTCTCTCTCCTCCCTAAATTCCTCAGTTATCTTGGTTTCTCAGTTGCCTGTAAACAGTTCTCCTTGTCCTTTGTTGTCTGGCCTAACTCTTACTCACATTGCTAAATAGTAACACAATGTCATAATCTTTACTGGTCCTACACTCACACATTACCAGGTAGTAGATTCTAACACATCTCACACAGTTTCAGAGTGTAATAATTAGTCACTACTAAGAAAGTACTAATCATACTTAAAACAAGAACATTTCACAACTATATTTAAGGGTGGAACATTTAGTCATTACTTTTAACCTGTATATAGAATTAATTTCTGTATCACCAAGACACTTGAATCTGTTATTGCTGCAAAAGGTGGCTGCACGCTCTAGTTTTCTGTTTTTTTTTGTCTTATTTCTTTTTTGTTCCACCCCAAAAAATATTTTGCAACTTCAAAGTGGTAGGCATGTTGTGTAAATCAAATTATACAAACCCCCAAAAACTCCATTTTAAATGCCAAGGGAGGTGAATACTTTCGCAAGCCACTGTAACCAGAAAGGTTAACATCAGTGTTCAAAACACTCTTTCTTAACATTTTAGTTATTTAGCAGACGCTCTTATCCAGAGCGACATAAAGTTAGTGAGTGCATAGATTTTTCATACTGGCCCCCCGTGGGAACCGAACCCACAACCCTGACGTTGCAAGCGCCATGCTCTACCAACTGAGCTACAGTCTCAGTAATGACCAACACACCTGTATTTGAGATGTGAACCCACACTTTCAATTGATCCATTTGATGTAATTAGCTTCTAGTGTTAACGTGCAGAAAACCCAGGCTTTTACGAGAGCAGAAATCAGTGAAGCAGATATCAGAGCACAAGTCAGGCCCTATTATTATTCCAAATTAAAATCAAATTCGTTAACCTATAATTGTACGTTTGTAGGCCGTGTGTCCAGCACCAGCGTTGTGTCTTCTCTCCCAGCTTCATGGTTTGAAAGAGGTGCATAATTCCAGTCCATATAATACATTATATTAAAACACAGCAAAGTCATAGTCCACACTCAAAAAGATAATTGGAGCTTGTTTAATTTATTTACCCAAGAAAGCATACATCAATGGGCTTTTATGTTTTTCTATTTTGCGTAATGTGCGGTATAGCCTATCATATGTATTGGATAACAGCACAATCATTTGGGCTTTTTTTGCCTTGGGCTCATAAAATGTCTTTAATGTAGGGCTCATAAAATGTATTTATTGTAGGGCTCATCTGGCTCCGGCTTGAATTTTCATGCCTATCAAAACTCTAATCCAAACATATTTAAAATGTCTTGCCCCCTGAGCCCTGCTCCTTTTCCCTCCGCACGCTATCAGGACCACATCGGACTGATATGTATTGCTATTTGGGCCATGGTGTGGGGGCTTTTTGATTAGTTGGTTTTAGGGGTGTTGGAACCGAATCTGATGGTTGTCTGACTCTGCTGTGTATAATTTGAGTTTTAGAATGGCACATGATTCTGTCTGTTGGTTTCAAATGCTTTAGAATACCGGTTTACCCAGGAGAAAAGTGATTTATTCTCGGGATGGAACATTTATAAAATACCGGGATAATATTTAACCCTACCCAGCAAATTCTCAAGTGTTAAAATCTCAGTGTTGAGGTAAAAAGTGTTTTGAGTGTTATATCTGAGTGTTTATTCTAGTGGGGTTAACACCAGTGGGATTGAAATTGACACCACCTGCGTTGACTACTTGAAGTGTTATTTGAATCACAGTGGTGTTGTTACTCGACCATGCTGAGTTCATTTCTGTTAACTCTCTTCGAGTTAAAAATAAGTGGGAGAGGCCTCATTATCATATTTCCCAGCATGCTTTGTTGCAGGTTGAGTATTAGAAATAGTTTGTTTTAATATGTGTTTCTTCATGCACATTGATTGATTAATTGACCTTAAACTATGCAAAGATAAATAACTTACATGTTTCTAAACTAACCCAATCTGTAAGGGGTTGGACTTATTGCACCCGTTACTGAGATGGTTGTTCCAGTTTAGATAGTCTTGTTTATCAAGTCCTTCACTGTAACCTGAATGCAGGTTGTGGGTGATAAAATATTGCAATTGTTGGATATCCTCCCTCTGACTGGATTTTGTAATGAATTTCTAATCACTTCCCAAACCTGACTTACAGATCTTATGTGGCCCATGAGCCAGGATTTTAAGACCACAATGTTGAGGATAACTAGGCCATAACTAAATGCTTTACGAAATCTATAGAATTTGGTCATAAAGGGTTTACTTTTAATTTAAAAACATTCACTTAAGCCAGTCCTTCTCAAATAGTGGGGCGCGCCCCCCTGGGGGGGCTCGGAGCGATGCCAGGGGGGGCGCGTGTGACCCCGGGGAACATGCTTTTTTTTGCCGCAGGGAGTAGGTTTTTTTTGCACTGAACAAGAGCACACAGCACAGAGCAGGAGATATGAAGTGCAGATAACAAACCCTTAAGAGACACCATGGAAACATATCTAACAGGGATGAAAAGAAAGACGGAGATAATGAGACAAAGTCTCCCGAAAGCTAAGACGAGGAAATATGACGAAGCGTATGTAGCGCTTGGCTTCACTGTGACTACGGTGGGAGACGAGGAAAGACCGGTATGTTTACTGTGTCTAAAAATGTTGGCAGCGGACAGCATGAAGCCAAATAAATTAAGGCGTCACTTAAAGACATTACACCCCAATCACGCTGATAAGCCTCTTGAGTTTTTTCAGCGAAAACGTGCCGAATATTGCCAACAATCGTCCCGCTTTGTGAAGGCTACTTCAGTAAACCAGCGGTCATATAAGGTGGCGTACCAAATTGCTCAGTGCAGAAAACCCCACTCCATAGCAGAGGAGCTGATACTGCCTGCAGCATTAGACATGGTCTCTGTCATGCTGGATGACGCAAGTGCTGCAAAAATAAAAACTATCCCTCTGTCCAATGACACTGTCGCCAATGACACTGTCGCCAGACGTATAGATGACATTGATAACGATCTTAAAGAACAGCTGGTAAACTCAAAGACAAACTTTTTGCCTTACAGTTCGATGAAGCAACTGACAGCAACAAAGACTGTTTATCGTTTATGTACGTTTTGACATGACAAACTCCCTGTGTGAGGATCTACTTTTTTGTAAATATGTCAGAGACAGAGCCACAGCTGAAGAGCTATTCAAAATGCTGGACTACTTCCTGACTGAGAATGGGCTAAAGTGGGAGAACTGCATTGGTGTTTGCAGTGATGGTGCACAGACCATGGCAGGGATGAGAAACGGACTTTGGGCACTCATCAAGAAGGCCTCACCTAATGCTGAGTGGACACACTGTGTTATACACAGAGAAGCACTGGCATCAAGGCACCTTTCCTCTGAATTAAGTGAGGTTATGACTGACATTGTAGGTGTAGTCAATTTCATAAAGACCAGACCACTAAAAACAAGAGTCTTCTCTGCTATCTGTGAGGAGATGGGAGCTGAACATCAAGCTGTGCTGTTTCACAGTGAAGCAAGGTGGCTGTCATGAGGAAAAGTCTTGTCCCGAGTTTTTGAGCTCAGAGAGCAGATAAGAATGTTTTCGGAGCAGGAGCACAAGTATGACCTCGCAGAAAAATGTAGTGATGAGAACTTCCTGGCAAAGCTGGCCTACCTGAGTGACATATTTGGAAAGCTAAATGAACTAAATCTACAGCTTCAAGGGAAAGATAAACACCTCAGATCACAGACAAGATCAGCTCTTTCACTCGAAGGCTTGCAATGTGGGGCAGGCGACTTGATGAAGGAAATACTGATTCATTCGAGAACCTGCATGAATTTGTTGACACTACTGACTATGATGCCACCTCAGTGATTCCATATATTAAGGAGCATATTTCATCACTGATGGGATTCTTTAAAAAGTACTTCCCTGAAAACAGTTCCCAATATGACTGGGTGAGAGATCATTTCAATGCTCCAGCTCCAACTGGTTTCAGCTCTGCAGAGGAGGACCAGTTCATTGATATCACGTCTGACTCCACATTGAGACTGAGGTTCACATCACAGACACTGAGTGAATTCTGGCTGAGTGTAGAGAGGCAGTATCCACTCTTAGGGCAGAGGGCTAAGAGTGGATACTGCCTCTCTTTGTGAGACTGGCTTCTCTGCTGTTGCTGCACTGAAGACCAAGTACAGGTCCCAGCTAAACATTGAGCAGGAGCTGAGAGTTGCAGTATCATGCTTCAAACCCCGCTTCGAAAAGCTGTGCACTGCAAAACGTGCTCATTGTAGCCATTAATCCTGACTTCCTCATTTTGATTAAAAAAATAAATAAATCAGCACAAATTGTTTTATTCATTTTTGTTTTATAGGTCAAAGTGTTTCATATATTGTGCTCCTGAGTTAATGTTGCTGATCAATTTGAATGTATTGTTATTTATTGATTATATTTTATTTTATTTTTCAGTATCAAATGGTCAAAAAATGTTTACAGTTTAAATAAGGGTTGCATTTTTTTTAAATTTCAGGCAAATTGATGCACTTTAAGTATTTTCTGTTACAATGTTAATAAAGTTATTCTTTGTTGTAAGTTGATCTATATTTCTTTCTTTTTTATTTTCTTTAATTTTAATAAGGATACAATGTTATGCAGAGGTGTACATATAACAATTTTATAGACAAATTATACTATTTACAGTCGCGGCGGAGAGTTGGGGGGCGCGAAATGTTTACTTCTTCCTAGGGGGGGCGTAACAGAAAATAATTGAGAAGCACTGACTTAAGCAGTCATTTGGTGAAGGCTTCAGGTCTAAAAGTTATTGAATGCAACAACCATGTCTCTGTCACTAACAAACACAGTCATGGGTGGGTATCACTCACATTCACGCAAAAGGCATGCTAAGAAATATGCAAATAAGGCTTTAAATCAAATCAAATCAAATCAAATGTTATTGGTCACATGCCCCGAATACAACAGGTGCAGACATTACAGTGAAATGCTTACTTACAGCCCTTAACCAACAGTGCATTTATTTTAAACAAAAAAAGTAAGAATAAAACAACAACAAAAAAAAGTGTTGAGAAAAAAAGAGCAGAAGTAAAATAAAGTGACAGTAGGGAGGCTATATATACAGGGGGGTACCGTTGCAGAGTCAATGTGCGGGGGCACCGGCTAGTTGAGGTAGTTGAGGTAATATGTACATGTGGGTAGAGTTAAAGTGACTATGCATAAATACTTAACAGAGTAGCAGCAGCGTAAAAGGGATGGGGTGGGGGGGCAGTGCAAATAGTCCGGGTAGCCATGATTAGCTGTTCAGGAGTCTTATGGCTTGGGGGTAGAAGCTGTTGAGAAGTCTTTTGGACCTAGACTTGGCACTCCGGTACCGCTTGCCGTGCGGTAGCAGAGAGAACAGTCTATGACTAGGATGGCTGGAGTCTTTGACAATTTTGAGGGCCTTCCTCTGACACCGCCTGGTATAGAGGTCCTGGATGGCAGGAAGCTTTGCCCCAGTGATGTACTGGGCCGTACGCACTACCCTCTGTAGTGCCTTGCGGTCAGAGGCCAAGCAGTTGCCATACCAGGCGGTGATGCAACCAGTCAGGATGCTCTCGATGGTGCAGCTGTAGAATTTTTTGAGGATCTGAGGACCCATGCCAAATCTTTGTAGTCTCCTGAGGGGGAATAGGCTTTGTCGTGCCCTCTTCACGACTGTCTTGGTGTGTTTGGACCATGATAGTTCGTTGGTGATGTGGACACCAAGGAACTTGAAGCTCTCAACCTGTTCCACTACAGCCCCGTCGATGAGAATGGGGGCGTACTCAGTCCTCTTTTTTTCCTGTAGTCCACAATCATCTCCTTTGTCTTGGTCACGTTGAGGGAGAGGTTGTTGTCCTGGCACCACACGGCCAGATCTCTGACCTCCTCCCTATAGGCTGTCTCATCGTTGTCGGTGATCAGGCCTACCACTGTTGTGTCGTCGGCAAACTTAATGATGGTGTTGGAGTCGTGCCTGGCCATGCAGTCATGGGTGAACAGAGAGTACAGGAGGGGACTGAGCACGCACCCCTGAGGGGCCCCCGTGTTGAGGATCAGTGTGGCAGATGTGTTGTTACCTACCCTTACCACCTGGGGGCGGCCCGTCAGGAAGTCCAGGATCCAGTTGCAGAGGGAGGTGTTTAGTCCCAGGATCCTTAGCTTAGTGATGAGCTTAGAGGGCACTATGGTGTTGAATGCTGAGCTGTAGTCAATGAATAGCATTCTCACGTAGGTGTTCCTCTTGTCCAGGTGGGAAAGGGCAGTGTGGAGTGCGATAGAGATTGCATCATCTGTGGATCTGTTGGGGCGGTATGCAAATTGGAGTGGGTCTAGGGTTTCTGGGATTATGCTGTTGATGTGAGCCATGACCAGTCTTTCAAAGCACTTCATGGCTACAGACGTCAGTGCTACGGGTCGGTAGTCATTTAGGCAGGTTATCTTATAGTTCTTGGGCACGGGGACTATGGTGGTCTGCTTGAAACATGTTGGTATTACAGACTCAGTCAGGGACATGTTGAAAATGTCAGTGAAGACACTTGCCAGTTGGTCAGCACATGCTCGGAGTACACGTCCTGGTAATCCGTCTGGCCCTGCGGCCTTGTGAATGTTGACCTGCTTAAAAGTCTTACTCACATCGGCTACGGAGAGCGTGATCACATAGTCATCCGGAACAGCTGGTGCTCTCATGCATGCTTCAGTGTTGCTTGCCTCGAAGCGAGCATAGAAGTGGTTTAGCTCGTCTAGTAGGCTTGTGTCACTGGGCAGCTCGCGGCTGTGCTTCCCTTTGTAGTCTGTAATAGTTTTCAAGCCCTGCCACATCCGACGAGTGTCAGAGCCAGTGTAGTATGATTCAATCTTAGACCTGTATTGACTCTTTGCCTGTTAGATGGTTCGTCGGAGGTCATAGCGGGATTTCTTATAAGCGTCCGGGTTAGAGTCCCGTTCCTTGAAAGCGGCAGCTCTACCCTTTAGCTCAGTGCGGATGTTTCCTGTAATCCATGGCTTCTGGTTGGGGTATGCACGTACGGTCACTGTGGGGACGACATCATCGATGCACTTATTGATGAAGCCAGTGACTGATGTGGTGTACTCCTCAATGCTGTCTGAAGAATCCCGGAACATGTTCCAGTCTGTGCTAGCAAAACAGTCCTGTAGCTTAGCATCTGCGTCATCTGACCACTTTTTTATTAACCGAATCACTGGTGCTTCCTGCTTAAGTTTTTGCTTATAAGCAGGAATCAGGAGGATAGAGTTATGGTCAGATTTGCCAAATGGAGGGCGAGGGAGAGCTTTGTATGCGTCTCTGTGTGTGGAGTAAAGGTGGTCTAGAGTTTTTTTCCCTCTGGTTGCACATTTAACATGCTGGTAGAAATGAGGTAGAACGGATTTAAGTTTCCCTGCATTAAAGTCCCCGGCCACTAGGAGCGCTGCATCTGGATGAGCGTTTTCCTGTTGATTAATGGCCTTGTACAACTCATTCAGTGCAATCTTAATGCCAGCATTGGTTTGTGGTGGTAAATAGACAGCTATGAAAAATATAGATGAAAACTCTCTTGGTAAATAGTGTGGTCTACAGCTTATCATAAGATACTCTAACTCAGGCGAGCAAAACCTCGAGACTTCCTTAGTATTTGATTTTGTGCACCAGCTGTTGTTTACAAATATACACAGACCGCCACCCCTTGTCTTACCAGAGTCAGCCGTTCTGTCCTGCCGATGTAGCGTATAGCCTGCTAGCTGAATGTTATCATTGTTGTCGTTCAGCCACGACTCCGTGAAACATAAGATATTACAGTTTTTAATGTCCCGTTGGTAGGATAACCGTAATCTTAAATCGTCCATTTTATTCTCAAAAGCTTGAACATTGGCTAATAGGATTGATGGAAGAGGCAGTTTACTCGCTCGCCGTCGGATCCTTACAAGGCACCCGGATCTGCGTCCGCGATATCTCCGTCTCTTCCTCACGCGAATGACGGGGATTTGGGCCTTGTCGGGTGTCTGTATGATATCCTTCGCGGCCGCCTCGTTGAAGAAAAAATCTTCGTCCAATGCGAGGTGAGTAATCGCTGTCCTGATATCCAGAAGCTCTTTTTGGTTATAAGAGACGATGGCAGAAACATTTTGTACAAAATAAATTACAAATAACGCGGAAAAACACACATAATAGTACAATTGGTTAGAGGGTTGGTTAGAGGGCTGTAAAACGGCAGCCATCTTCTCCGGCGCTGTTCATCTGGATCTAAGGAGTAAAACTTTACTCCTTAGTGTTAAAACAACACTCCCCAAAATACTGTAACACTACATGAGTTATTCCCTAACACTGAGATAGTGTAACAGCGTCAACTCTAATAAAGTGTTAATTTAGGTTGGAATTTGCAACACCCATGGTGTTAGGGAACCAACACTCTAGGGGTGTTAGTTTGTCAAGACTTTTAAAAGTGTTAATTTAACACTATTTCGGTGGGTAACATATACACAAGAAGAAAGTGTTACATTTAACACTGTGGGTGGTAAAATGAGAATCTCAAATTGGCTGTGTAATCTCCACTGTGCACCGGCCACCTTCAGGCCGTGGCTCAGTCACGTTTATGTGACGAAACGGTAAGGGAATTTTGTCTACTTTTTCCATGACCTTCTCCTGTCCAAGGATGGAGAATACATTCTGGGCCTGGTGTGGTTTTCCGCACAGATCTCGATTTTTGCTACCTGTCCTTCAAGCCTGGTCTTTGAAAGTGTGTTGTTTTGGGTTAGGGCTTTCACGACCCACTGTTTGGCTTGGCAGGGCAAACTGTGGGTTTAATGGGCTTGCCATGTCACGCTCTCTTCATATGCTCCCTTTTCTGTCTGAAATAATATTGTAAAATCCCTATCCCTTGTGTATCCATGACTCATAATTCTGCAATGTTGCCTCGAATCATGGCTAAAGATTAGTTAAGGGCCTATGACACAGGAATTTCTCTTATGTTACTAAAGTCAAAGCTTTCCCTTTGAATAATTTCCGCTCAGCTCAGGGATAATCGGCCTATATTATTCGCCAGCTATCGCCTATTATCTCCTGCATCAAAGGAATCCCAATTTCCAAATGTGGTTTGCTACATAATTTGGACAGAACAACTATAGTCATCCAAAAAGCCCTGCTAAACTGCAGAATCTGTTCAGCAGACTTTCCTTCGATAGTCCTAGTATGCTGTATATCTGGAACCTATGTTAGAAAGACTGTGGCCGTGTCCGAAATGTGTATTGCTTACTAAAACGACACACTGTGTAGTAATCATCCTACATACTATTTAGAACGTACTGTTTAGTTAAAATGTATGTAGTAAGCAACAAATATCAACATACTAGAATCACCCATACTGAGAGTGCGTCATCTAATGCACAATTGTGTTGTATCAAATCACATTTCATTGGTCGCATACACATATTTGTTTCACGCCATTTGTTCATTTTGCTACAGCCCATCCCCTTTTTTATTTTCAGCTGGTTATCAGCTGTTGTCAAACACACGTGGGTCAATAGCATGCAGCGAATTCTACTAGATGAAAAGCCTAAATTAGTATGACATCATGGAATTTAACCTAATCCGTCCCAGGGACTCCAAGCCAAAATCAGAGTTTTTTTCACTACATTCAGTAAAAAAGGGTTCCAAAAGGGTTCTTCAGCTGTCCCCATAGGAGAGCCCTTTTTAGCTCCAGGTAGAACCCTTTTTGCTTCCAGATAGAAACCTCTGTGGAAAGGGTTTTACATGGAACCCAAAAGGGTTTTATCTGCGACCAAAAGGGTTCTACCTGGAACCAAAAAAGGTTATTCAAAGTGTTCTTCTATGGGGACAGCCAAATAACCATTTTAGGATCTAGATAGCCCCTTTTTTTCTAAGAGTATACTTTGATTTATACAGTTGTTGCGAAAGAATTCACCCCCCTTGGCATTTTTCCTATTTTGCTGCCTTACAACCTGGAATTAAAATAGATTTTTTTGGGGGGGGTTGTATCATTTGATTTACACAACACGTGTCACGCCCTGGCTCTGGGACTCTGTTATGTTGAGCCAGGGTGTGTTGTTTCTATGTGTTTTGTGTTCTAGGTTGATTATCTAGCTCATGTGTTTCTGTGTTGGCCGGGGTGGTTCTCAATCAGAGGCAACGAGTATCAGCTGTTGCTTGTTGTCTCTGATTGGGTCCCATACTTAGGCAGCCTGTTTTCCACAGTGTTTTGTGGGATCTTGTTCCGTGTTGGTTTTGTATTGTAACCAAGGACTTCACGTTATCGTTTTGTTTAGTTTTGTTTTGTGTGGAATAAAATAAGTATGTTCACTCATCACGCTGCGCATTGGTCCACTGTGTTCGACGATCGTGACAGAAGATCCCACCATAACTGGACCAAGCAGCGTGTCCAGGAGCCAACGCCAGAGGTGAATCTAATGGATGTCCACCTCGACTGGGTCAAGCAGCGTGTCCAGGAGCCAACGCCAGAGAGGACTCTAATGGATATCAACCTCGACTGGGTCAAGCCGCGTGAGGAGGAGAGAGGTTGGACTTGGGAGCAGAGGCTGGAGTGTCTGGCGAGAGCCATGGAGGCCATAGCCACGGGGGAGAAACGAACCCAATAAATGTTTAGGGGGGGGCTCACACCGTGGACGACGGGACTGCTGAGGGCAGATAAGGGGCGAGTTAGTGGACGAGGAGAGAAGGCCACCGGGTTACGGGAGCCATTGGCGAGTAGAGGGAAGGAAAATGTAGAGGCACGGCGAGAGGTACTGAGGTGTGTTGCCAGTCCGGTCCGGCCCGTTCCTGATCCCCGGGTAAGGCCAGTGGTGTGTGTTCCCAGTGCGGTCCGGCCTATTCCTGTCCCTCGCACCAAGCCTGTGATGCGCGTCGCCAGCCCGGTCCGGCCTGTTCCTGCCTCTCGCACCAAGCCTATGGTGCGCGTCGCCAGCCTGGCCCGGCCTGTTCCTGCTCCCCGCACCAAGCCAATGGTGCGCATCGCCAGCCCGGCCCGGCCTGTTCCTGCTCCCCGCACCAAGCCAATGGTGCGCGTCGCCAGCCCGGCCCGGCCTGTTCCTGCTCCCCGCACCAAGCCAATGGTGCGCGTCGCCAGCCCGGCCCGGCCTGTTACTGCTCCCCGCACCAAGCCAATGATGCGCGTCGCCAGCCCGGCCCGGCCTGTTCCTGCTCCCCGCACCAAGCCAATGGTGCGCGTCGCCAGCCCGGCCCGGCCTGTTCCTGCTCCCCGCACCAAGCCAATGGTGCGCGTCGCCAGCCCGGCCCGGCCTGTTCCTGCTCCCCGCACCAAGCCAATGGTGCGCGTCGCCAGCCCGGTTCGACCCGTCCCTGCTCCCCGCACCAAGCCTGTGGTGTGCGTCGTCAGCCCGGTCCGGCCCGTTCCTGCTCCCCGCACCAAGCCTGTGGTGCGCGTCGTCAGTCCGGCACAGCCCATGCCTGGGTCACCGGTGCCTGGTCAGGTACCGGTCAGCTGCTCCACATCGGAGCCTAAGCAATCCGCTCCACCGATGTCCAGTCCAGCTCCAGCCAGCGGGGCCAGACCGGACCAGGGGCGCTACGAAGGGTGGTGGTCAAGCCCGGAGCCGGAACCGCCTCCGAGGAGGAATGCCCACCCGGCCCTCCCCTGTTCGGTTTTGTTTCGTGTGGAATAAAATAAGTATGTTCACTCATCACGCTGCGCATTGGTCCACTGTGTTCGACGATCGTGACAACATGCCTACCACTTTGAAGATGCAAAAAATAAAAAAAGTGAAACAAACAAGAAATAAGACAAAAAAACTGAAAACCTGAGCGTGCATAACTAACCCCCCCCCCCAAAGTCAATACTTTGTAGAGCAACCTTTTGCAGCAATTACAGCTGCAAGTCTCTTGGGGTATGTCTCTATAAGCTTGACACATCTAGCCACTGGGATTTTTGCCCATTCTTCAAGGCAAAACTACTCCAGCTCCTTCTAGTTGGATGGGTTCCGCTGGTGTACAGCAATCTTTAAGTCATACCACAGATTCTCAATTGGATTGTGGTCTGTGCTTTGACTAGGCCATTGCAAGACATTTAAATGTTTCCCCTTAAACCACTCGAGTGTTGCTTTAGCGGTATGATTAGGGTCATTGTCCTGCTGGAAGGTGAACCTCCGTCCCAGTCTCAAATCTCTGGAAGTCTGAAACAGGTTTCCCTCAAGAATTTCCCTGTATTTAGTGCCATCCATCATTCCTTCAATTCTGATCAGTTTCCCAGTCCCTGCCGATGGAAAAACATGCCGACAGTATGATGCTGCCACCACCATGCTTCACTGTGGGGATGGTGATGAGAGGTGTTGGGTTTGCACCAGATATAGCATTTTCCTTGATGGCCAAAAAGCTCAATTTTAGTCTCATCTGACTAGAGTAGCTTCTTCCATATGTTTGGGGAGTCTCCCACATGCCTTTTGGCGAACAATGACTTTTTTCTGGCCACGCTTCCGTAAAGCCCAGGTCTGTGGAGTGTATGGCTTAAAGTGGTCCTATGGACAGATACTCCAATCTCCACTGTGGAGCTTTGCAGCTCCTTCAGGGTTATCTTTGGTCTCATTGTTGCCTCTCTGATTAATGCCCTCCTTGCCTGGTCCGTGAGTTTTGGTGGGTGGCCCTCTCTTGGCAGGTTTGTTGTGGTGCCAGATTCTTTCCATTTTTTAATAATGTATTTAATGGTGCTCCGTGGGAAGTTCAAAGTTTCTGATATTTTTTTATAACCCAACTCTGATCTGTACTTCTCCACAACTTTGTCCCTGACCTGTTTGGAGAGCTCCTTGGTCTTCATGGTGCCGCTTGCTTGGTGGTGCCCCTTGCTTAGTGGTGTTGCAGACTCTGGGGCCTTTCAGAACAGGTATATATACTGAGATCATGTGACACTTAGATTGCATACAGGTGGACTTTATTTAACTAATTATGCGACTTCTGAAGGTACTTGTTTGCACCAGGTCTTATTAAGGGGCTTCATAGCAAAGGGGGTGAATAGATATGCACACACCACTTTTCCGTTATTTATTTTTTATAATGTTTTGAAACAAGTTTTTTTTTTTCATTTCACTTCACCAATTTGGACTATTTTGTGTATGTCCATTACATGAAATCCAAATAAAAATAAATTTTAATTACAGGTTGTAATGCAACAAAATAGGAAAAACGCCAAGGGTGATGAATACTTTTGCAAGGCACTGTATGCATGTCTAGCCCTCATTAATTCTCACAATTAAATGTTTTATCATTTCTTTTCAGGACAACCAGTGCTACAAGTAGAATGACGTATGTTGAACAGGGAACGAGGGACCTCGGTGTATTGTTTTTATAAAGTTGTGACAGTGTCTCCTCGTATATATACTTTGATTATATATACTTTTTGATTTTTGATCCCGCGGCTCAGTTGGACTCAGTTGCTGTGAATGCTACTATCTGTCCAGGGATTCTGCAAGATTCCATGTAAAGACAGAGACACGGAAACCCAGCTAGTCTAGCTGGCTCGGCAGTCTCAAATGGTGGTCGCTATAGAACGTTCTCAACACTGCAGGAGCTGATTTTATTTTAGTTCAAGGGGGAAAAACCCTGTGCTACCCAGGAGCACGAGTACAGGTAATTACAAAGCTGCTTCCAACCGTTCTATGACAGATGCCGGGACCTGACACTGTTGTAGTCCATGTGGGGTCAAACGACATCAGGAGGGCTAGCTCGGAACTTCTGAAAATAAATTTTAAAGAACTGATTCCAGCACTGAAAGATTCCAAAAAGCGGCCAATCATTTCAGGTCCGGTACCATCGTTGGGCCGCAGGTGTGAAAGATTAATCAGGCTACTAGCAGTACACACTAAAAGATTACTGTAGCTCTGTTGGAATCACTTTTATATATAACTTTGACACATTCGGGAAACAGAAGATACTCTACAGGAATGACGAAGTCCATCCAAATCATCTTGGCGCCAGGACAAGGCTGAGTTGAGACAATGACTTATCAATGACCGAAGACCAGCTCAGTTATTCCCTACCATTGTGATGCTTAGTTGTCATAATGCTGCATCAAATGTACGTTAACCCAGGGGCATTGGCAGACACAATGTAAGTAACTTATTTTATGTCCCCCTAACTGCCCTGAATACCTCTGTTGATCCTACAGCTATTGTATGCAGTAATCATGTGCCTATGAGCCAGAGTCACACTGTTAGCATTGAGGCAGTGTTCCCTAGTAGGAAATCCACAGTGTTCAGCTCACCGTGCACAGTTCCAATATAAATAACATGAGCAAGTCTACTTCTGATAAGCTTTCCAAAAAAGCATTAAAAACAATCAAGCAACCCAGAAAAGTTTTCAAAATAGCCCATGTTAACATATGTAGCATAAGAAACAAGGTTCATGAAGTCAATAGCCTGCTTTTATCTGATTATATTCATATGCTGACTGTCTCTGAAACTCATGTAGACAATACCTTTGATGATACAGTGTTAGCAATACAGTGGACGCGCAATTGGCCCAGCGTCGTCCAGGGTAGGGGAGGGAATGGCCGGCAGGGATGTAGCTCAGTTGATAGAGCATGGCGTTTGCAACGCCAGGGTTGTGGGTTCGATTCCCACAGGGGGTATGTGGGAATCGAATAATGTCTGCACTAACTGTAAGTCGCTCTGGATAAGAGCGTCTGCTAAATGACTAAAATGTAAATGTAATACAGAAAATACAGAAATGCCTGTGGTGGAGGTGTTGCTGTTTATATTCAGAACCACCTTCCTTTAAAGATTAGAGAGGATTTCATGTTAAATACAGTTGAAGTAATATGGCTACAGGTTCATCTGCCTCACCTAAAGCCCATTCCTGTGGGAAGCTGCTATAGACCACCAAGTGCTGACAGTCAGTACCTGGATAACATGTGTGAAATGCTTGATAATGCATGTGATATCAACAGAGATGTATATTTTCTGGGTGATTTAAATATTGACTGGCTTTCAAGCTGCCCAATCAAGAAAAAGCTTCAAACTGTAACCAGTGCCTGCAACCTGGTTCAGGTAACCAGTAAACCTACCAGGGTAGTTACAAATAGCACAGGAATGAAATCATCAACATGTATTGATCATATCTTTACTAATGCTGCAGAAATGTGCTTGAAATCAGTATCCAGATCCATCGGATGTAGTGATCACAATATAGTAGCCATCTCTAAGAAAACATAAGTTCCAAAGGCTGGGCCTAATATAGCGTATAAGAGGTCATAGAATAAGTTTTGTAGCGATTCCTATGTTGTTGATGTAAAGAATATATGTTTGTCAGTGGTGTGTAATGAGGAGCAAACAGACGTTGCACTTGACAGATTTATGAAATTGCTTATTCCAGTTACTAATAAGCATGCACTCATTAAGAAAATGAGTGTAAAAACTGTTCAATCCCCGTGGATTGATGAGGAATTGAAAAAGTGTATGGCTGAGAGGGATGACGCAAGAGAAATGGCAAATAAGTCTGGCTTCACAACCGATTGGCAAACGTACCGCAAGTTGAGAAATCATGTGGCTAAACTGAATAAAAAGAAGAAGAAACTACACTATGAAACAAAGAGAAATTACATAAAGAATGAACACATTATTGTTGTCTATAAACAATGACAAGCCACAGGGGTCTGACAACTTGGATGGAAAATTACTGAGGATAATAGCGGACGATATTGCCACTCCTATTTGCCATATCTTCAATTTAAGCCTACTAGAAAGTGTGTGCCCTCAGGCCTGTGTCACACCCTGGCTCTGGGGACTCTATATGTTGAGCCAGGGTGTGTAGATTCTATGTATTCTAGTTCTGTGTTGTAGGTCTATGTGTTCTATTTCTATGTTGGCCAGTGTGGTTCTCAATCAGAGGCAACGAGTGTCAGCTGTGGCTGGTTGTCTCTGATTGGGAACCATATTTAAACAGTCTGTTTTACATTCGTGTTTGTGGGATCTTGTTCCGTTTGGGTTGTGTTTACCGTAGGACGTCACGTTTTCGTTTTGTTGTTTTGTTCGTGCATTCATTATATAAATAAATATGTTCGTTCATCACGCTGCGCCTTGGTCTACTCTCATTAACGATCGTGACAGCCTGGATGGAAGCAAAAGTCATTCCGCTACCTAAGAATAGTAACGCCCCCTTTACTGACTCAAATAGCCGATCAATCATCCTGTTATCAACCCTTAGTAACGTTTTGGAAAACATTTTGTTTGACCAAATACAATACTATTTTACAGTGAAACAAATTGACAACAGACTTTCTGCACGCTTATAAGTAAGGACATTCAACAAACACAGCACTTACCCAAATGACTGATAATTGGCTGAGAGAAATTGATGATAAAAAGATTGTGGGGGCTGTTTTGTTAGAGTTCAGTGCGGCTTTTTACATTATCGATCATACTGCTGCTTGAAAAACGAATAGGTTATGGCTTTACATCCCCTGCTATATTGTGGATAAAGAGTTATCTGTCTAACAGAACACAGAGGGTGTTCTTTAATTGAAGCCTCTCCAACATAATCCAGGTAGATTCAGAAATGTCCTAGGGAACCTGTCTAGGCCATACTTTTTTCAATCTTTACTAACGACATGCCACTGACTTTGAGTAAAGCCAGTGTGTCTATGTATGCAGATGACTCAACACTATACACGTCAGCGACTACACCGACTGAAATGACTGCAACACTTAACAAAGAGCTTCAGTTAGTTTCAGAATGGGTGGCAAGGAATAATTAGTCCCATATATTTCAGAAACTAAAAGCACTGTATTTGGGACAAATCATTCACTAAAACCTAAACTGAAATGGTCCACCCACGCAGACAGTGTGGTGAAAAAGGCGCAACAGAGCCTCTTCAACCTCAGGAGGCTGAAGAAATGTGGCTTGGCACCTAAAACCATCAAAACCTTTTACAGATGCACAATTGAGAGCATCCTGTAAGGCTGTATCACCGCCTGGTAAGGCAACTGCACTGCCCGCAACCGCTGGGCTTTCCAGAGGGTGGTGCGGTCTGCCGAACGCATTACCGGGGCCAAATTACCTGCCCTCCAGGACACCTACAGCACCCAATGTCACAGGAAGGCCAAAAAGATAATCAAGGACATCAACCACCCGAGCCACTGACTGTTCACCCCGCTATCATCCAGAAGGTGAGGTCAGTACAGGTGCATCAAAGCTGGGACAGAGAGAATGAAAAACAGCTATCTCAAGGCCATCAGACTGTTAAATAGCCATCACTAGCACATTAGAGGCTGCTGCTGCCTATTGTGAAATTGTTAGATATTACTTGTTAGATATTACTGCACTGTCAGTGCTAGAAGCACAAGCATTTCGCTACACCCGCAATATCATCTGCTAAACACCTGTATGTGACAAATAAAATGTGATTTGATTTGAACTTCAAATAAATCTTGTAATAAATAATGTGGAAATTGAGCTAGTTGAGGTGACTAAACTGCTTGGAGTAACCCTGTATTTTAAACTGTCATTGTCAAAACATATTGATACAACAGTAGCTAAGATAGGGAGAAGTCAGTCCATAATAAAGCGTTGCTCTATCTTCTACACTATCAACAAGGCAGGTCCTACAGGCTCTAGTTTTGTTGCACCTGGACTACTGTTCAGTCGTGTGTTCAGGTGCCACAAAGAGGGACTTAGGAAATTGCAATTGGCTCATAACAGGGCATCACGGCTGGCCCTTGGATGTACACAGAGAGCAAACATTAATAATATGCATTTCAATCTCTCATGGCTCAAGGGGGAGGAGAGATTGACTTCATCACAACTTGTATTTGTGAGAGGTATTGACATGATAAAAAATAAAAAAAAACGGGTAAAAAATACATCTTATGGAACAACGGGACTGTGAAGAGACACACACAAAGGTACAGACACATGCATACGCATACATTGTGATGTTGTTGTATGGTGGTATTAAACATGTTGTATTGTAGATATGTAGTGGTGTACTAATGTTATATGATGTATTGTTTTATCTTTTGTTTTATATGTAATGTAAGTGCTTCAATATGTTTGGACCCCAGGAAAAGTATCTGCTGCTTTGGCAGCAGCTAATGGAGATCCCTAATAAATACAAATACAAATACAAATAGACGATATCGCCATAGTCTAAAGTCGGAATGAATGTCGACTGAATTATTTGTTTATGCCTATATATGAGTCTATTATATTATAGACACTATTTCCTGGGTGGAAATTGATAGAATTGACTGTTATAGCCACAAAACTTCACCTATTGTCTTATACCCATGTCTGTGATCTGTAAGTATTTTAAGTTTGTCTGGGAGCTATAAGAAAGCTCTGGAAAACATCAGGAATGATCACAATGCAATACTTCTTTATGATCTTCAATGTCCAGACACCCTTACATTCTAACGAGTCCTGTGGGGCTTGTGAGCGTCATAGCAAAACAGACAAGAGTGTGTTTGTAAGAGTCTAAGCTTTCCATGATGGGGTCATATTAGCTCAAATCGTTCGGACTTTAGAGACATTTTTGTGAGAACAACCGATTTCGGGATATCTCCTGGTCTCACAAACATTGCTGGCCTGTGGCAAATAGACGCATCAAATGACGCGTCCAGGAAGTATAGCGGAACAGGCGACTCAGGAGGAGTTAATACTGGGACCAATAGATTAAAGCATACAAAAAAATATATATTTCACATACTATAAAACATTATATTTTCGCATACCCAAAATGGCTACTATTTAAAATACAAGTATGGGTATTCGGACACAGCCATTGATTTGTTCTTTGTTACGATGAAGTTGATACTATATCCGAGAAAACATAACTGAAAACTATAAATATGTTATGATGGAGCCAGGAGTACATTCAGATACAATCAGGTGAAATTGTGAAACTAAGACAGGGCATGTCTGTACTATGGAATAGGCCTAGGTATTGATCTATTCCATTTAGTGATTCAACATTAAAAACAATGTTTAAAATTAAAGTATAAATCAGTGCCAACTAAGTGTCAACTAACTTCAACAGGTCAACCCCAACTGACTGATGTATGATGCATTGGTTTAGTTTTATCCTTCATCTCCGACCTAGTTATTTCACCCACACATGCTTTTTTTTCTTTAGCAGGACCTGTGAGGGGCAGAATATCAAATATCGCACATGCAGTAATGTGGTAAGTTCAGCAAACTCATCTTTATGTAATACATGTCAAATGTTTCTTTTGAAATGGTTCAGTTATGGAATAAATTGAGACTGCAAACTGTGTTGGATATTTTATGTGGTAACTGTGTGTGAAATCGGTGGGGTTGGTAGTGTGAATGGATATTTTATGTGGTAACTGTGTGTGAAATCGGTGGGGTTGGTAGTGTGAATTGATATTTTGTGTGGTAACTGTGTGTGAAATCGGTGGGGTTGGTAGTGTGAATGGATATTTTATGTGGTAACTGTGTGTGATGGATATTTTGAAGCTAAAGCCCTGCTGAGAGGGAGAGAAGTGCATACCCCCTTTCATGTCATGACCCTTACTTATGAGTACTAAAGGCTTGCAGCACTTGAAAGATCCTCAGCTAAGAGAATAATGGACAAACGTAAACAAAAGTGAATGTAACTCTTGTATGTTTATATGACATTTTTGTGTGTTTAAAGTTTTGTTCTATGTTGGGTCATAGGAAAATAAAAATCACCCCCCAAAAATGTTCTCCTCCCTGACTTCTCTTAGGAATGCCCCCCAGACGCCGGTGACTTCCGTGCCCAGCAGTGCTCTGCACATGCCGACGTACGCTACCAGGGTCGGTACCACGAGTGGCTGCCCCTGGATAACGACTCTGACAATCCCTGTGCGCTGAAATGCAAGGCCAAGGGCTCTGGGCTGGTGATGGAGCTGGCCCCCAAGGTGCTGGATGGGACACGTTGCTACACAGAGTCCCTGGACATGTGCATCAGCGGGACCTGCCAGGTCAGATAACTGCCCTCCCTCTGACACACCTCCACTGGGCAGAGAATTGGCACCAGATTTACTACGCATGTGCATTGTTTTCCAGAGATAACTAAGCATAAAGGGATTAATAAAAAGTTGATGAAGAAAGGAATGAACAAATAAAGAATGAGAAATTGCAGTAAACATCGGTAATTAATATAATTTATTGTTTTAGCTTTGTCTGTCCCTTGGCATTTACTACTTTAAGTAGCTTGAGACTAGAAATATGTGGCAAAATGATGGCATTGATTCATTACAATATTAGTCTTTAGATTTTCAATACTTTGTCAGGCTTAAAGGGATAATGCGACATTTTGGCAATAAAGCCCTTTTTTTCTACTTAACCAGAGTCAGATGTCTCTGTTTGCAGTTTGAAGGTAGTTTCTGAGCCATTGCCAAATGCATTAGCACAATGACTGGAAGTCTACAGGAACAACTAGCCAGCTTTCTCAAATGTTGCCCTCACACATCTGCAGTGAAAGGTGGCAGAGCTAGAGCGGTGTTTGTCAGACCATGAGACATCCTGAAAACCATTCTTCTCATGAAAACATCTGAACGGCTTGGCCTAGAAACTAGTATAACCCCTCTGTAGAAAGGTGAGTCTCTCACAAACACGTACATGTCACAAGACTTGTCTGAAGGTAGCCAGGTACCAGTTAAACAAATTAATGGAAGTATATATGGAGATAGTTTAGTGCTAAAAATAAGGGGTTAAATACATTTTTGTTAAATCTAAATAGTTTCCTGATCATTTCTTATATCTCTTAGATATAGGACAGACACTCCTGAACAAACTTCCTTTTAATGTATTTTGGGACTATCTGTTTATCTATGTATGAAGCTTTTATTAAATGTGTTTCTATGGGCTAATTGCAGTAAGGCCAAATTAAATGTTTCATCAAATAATATCTTTTTTGATACCTTAACGGGTCCTAAAACTCAGTCAAATAGCTAATTGATCCATCTTAAAAGAATTCCATATGTTAGCTTAGAAGAACCCCCCAAACCTCTAATCTTGCGGGAAGAGAGCCAAAGTAGTCCCAATATGAGGAAGTTGATAGAATCTTGTTTCTTATGATAATCAGTCAAATTAAGGAATGTATAAAATATTGATTACTATGTATAGCTTTGTAAGACTATAAATGACCAACCACCCAGCTTTGGAGTAGTTTGAAGGTCTATTTCCCTACTTTTCATCTAGTTTTTCCTGTAATAATAAAGAAATAATAAGCCATTTAGCAGACGCTTTTATCCAAAGCGACTTACAGTCATGCGTGCATATATATATATGTTTTGTGTATGGGTGGTCCCAGGGATCGAACCCACTACCTTAGCGTTACAAGCGCCGTGCTCTACCAGCTGAGCTACAGAGGACTACTGTAGACTGACAGTCATTGCACTAACACATTTAGCAATGGCTAAGAAACTACTTTCAAACTGCACGCAGAGACATAAAAATGGTATCCATGACTTCATATGACTCTGGGAAAGTATACATTTTTTTCGCTCTATCCCTTTAATATAAAATGGTGGGCAAACTGTTGAGCTCAAGGGCCACATTGGGATTTTGAAGTTCAACAGAAGGCTGCAAAGATTTAGTTTGGACCGATTTGTTCATCAAAATCTATTTGCGGGCCAGAAAAAGGTAAAAAAAAGTTCTTTCAAAATATACACTGAGTTTGCCAAACACTAGCAACACCTTCCTATTATTGAGTTGCACCCCCCTCCTTTTGCCCTCAGAACAGCCTCAATTTTTCGGGGCATGGACTCTACAAGGTGTTGAAAGCGTTCCACAGGGGTGCCATCCCACATTGGCGCCATTGCTTCCTACAGTTGTGTCAAGTTGCCTGGATGTCCTCTGGGTGGAGGACCATTATTGATACACACGGGAAACTGTTTAAAAAAAACTGCATAAAAAAAAACAGCAGCGCTACTACCATACCCCGTTCACACACAATCCATGTCTCAATTGTCTCAAGGCTTAAAAATCCTTATTTAACCGGTCTCCTCCCCTTCATTTACACTGATTCAAATGGCTTTCATGGCAATCAATAAGGGATCATAGCTTTCAGTTGGATTCACCTGGTCAGTCTATGTCATGGAAAGAGCAGGTCTTCTTACAGTTTTGGATACTCAATGTATAGGTATATTATCATTTCCACATACTTTCTATCTGATTTTAGACGTTCAAGTAAGGGATGCATAGATTTTGAAATTCTTGGCCGATACCGATATCCAAATGTTTTCAAATGTTATGCCGTTTTTAACCATTCTAGCACAGATATAAACTGCAACCAAGTTTCTACGTTCATAAGGCAAATAAGAAAGCATGTCAAATGAATTGAATATTGGAAAGGTGTAACAATGCATCAGAAAGGTATTGTAAAGTTCAGGAAAACATCAGGGAAGATCATGAGGTAATAATTGTGTTTGTAAAAAAGATCTGCATTTCTTTCAGTTGCAGTTTTGTCACAGTCCCCTTCTAACGTACAGTGGGGAAAAAAAGTATTTAGTCAGCCACCAATTGTGCAAGTTCTCCCACTTAAAAAGATGAGACAGGCCTGTCATTTTCATCATAGGTACACGTCAACTATGACAGACAAAATGAGAAAAAAAAATACAGAAAATCACATTGTAGGATTTTTAATGAATTTATTTGCAAATTATGGTGGAAAATAAGTATTTGGTCAATAACAAAAGTTTCTCAATACTTTGTTATATACCCTTTGTTGGCAATGACACAGGTGGCAGGCAATGACACAATGACACATATGGCAGGCGAGGTGAGTAGTCATGCTGTACTTCGCTCCGCAGGTAATATGACACATTACATTACAATGGAACGATTTGATTAGTGTAATGTTGGCTAGCTACATAGTTGTATTTGTATCAAAGATAAAGGTGTAGTATAGAGTAACTATCGAGGTTAGCTAGCCAGCTACATTCGTTCGCAGCGACGCCGTTTTTCAAACAAAGTCAACACTGCAGCCATTGCTAGCTAGCCAACACTACCAGCTAATAGCTAGCAGTACTGTAGCAACTAAATACAATATCCTTTTAGCCAGCTACATTCGTTCGCAGCGATGCCGTTTTTCAAACAAAGTCATCACCGCAGCCATTGCTAGCTAGCCAACGCTACCAGCTAGCAGTACTATAGCAACTAAATACAATATAATTTTAGCCAGCTACTTTCGTTCGCAGCGACGCCGTTTTTCAAACAAAGTCAACACAGCAGCCATTGCTAGCTAGCCAACACTACCAGCTAGCAGTACTGTAGCAGCTAAATACAATATATTTGTGCTAGCTAGCCAACGTTTAATTATTGCTGCGTTATGAAAGGAACTAGACACGGACACGAATTATCTGTTTAGTGTGTTAACACACTATTGGTAGTTTGTTGTAACCAAGTATTGGTACTATACCATGTGTTATTGGATGCTAGCATGCTAGTTAGCTATGGCGTCATAGTTAGCTAGCTGAATAAAGTAAGTTGAGTCTATTCCTTGAAACATTGAACCGCTGTAGTTTACAACAATTCTAATTTCTAAAGTGGAAGTTGGGAGAGTTTTATTCGGGTGTTTCAGTGAAACAATTACAGTTTCTGAGGTGGAAGTTGGGAGAGTTATATTTGGGAGTTGTGGTGAGGGAGGCCCCGCTCTCTCCTTTCCCAGATGTTTAGTTCATTTCATTCCGATCTCCTCTGCATTATTGTAGCCATTTGCTACAGCCTGTCAACTATGCCTCTGCCTATCCCTGTTCTCTCCTCTCCGCACAGGCTACACAAACGCCTCACACCGCGTGGCTGCTGCCTCTCTAACCTGGTGGTCCCTGCACGCACCACACACCTGGAGTTCCAGGTCTCAGGCAGCCTCTGGAACTGCCGTTCTGCTGCCAACAAGGCTGACTTCATCCCAGCCTATGCTACCCTCCAGTCCCTCGACTTCCTGGCGCTGACGGAAACATGGATTACCACTGAAAACACTGCTACTCCTACTGCTCTCTCCTCGTCTGACCATGTGTTCTCGCATACCCCGAGAGCATCTGGTCAGAGGGGTGGTGGCACAGGAATCCTCATCTCTCCCAAGTGGACATTCTCAATTTTTCCCCTAACCCATCTGTCTATCTCCTCATTTGAATTCCATGCTGTCACAGTCACTAGCCCATTTAAGCTTAATATCCTTGTCATCTATCACCCTCCAGGTTCCCTTGGAGAGTTCATCAATGAGCTTGACGCCTTGATAAGTTCCTTTCCTGAGGATGGCTCACCCCTCACAGTTTTGGGGGATTTCAACCTCCCTACGTCTACATTTGACTCATTTCTCTCTGCCTCCTTCTTTCCACTCCTCTCCTCTTTTGACCTCACCCTCTCACCGTCCCCCCCTACTCACAAGGCAGGCAATACGCTTGACCTCATATTTACTAGATGCTGCTCTTCTACTAATCTCACTGCAACTCCCCTCCATGTCTCCGACCACTACTTTGTATCCTTTTCTCTCTCGCTCTCCTCCAACACTACTCACTCTGCCCCTACACAGATGGTAATGCGCCGCCGCAACCTTCGCTCTCTCTCTCCCACTACTCTCTCCTCTTCCATCCTATCATCTCTTCCCTCTGCTCAATCCTTCTCCCTCCAATCTCCTGATTCTTGTTCCTCAACCCTCCTCTCCTCCCTTTCTGCATCCTTTGACTCTCTGTGTCCCCTATCCTCCCGGCCGGCTCGGTCCTCCCCTCCAGCTCCGTGGCTTGATGACTCATTGCGAGCTCACAGAACAGAGCTCCGGGCAGCTGAGCGGAAATGGAAGAAAACTAGACTCCCTGCGGACCTGGCATCTTTTCACTCCCTCCTCTCTACATTTTTTTCATCTGTTTCTGCTGCTAAGGCCACTTTCTACCACTCTAAATTCCAAGCATCTGCCTCTAACCCTAGGAAGCTCTTTGCCACATTCTCCTCCCTGCTGAATCCTCCTCCCCCCCCCCCTCCTCCCTCTCTGTGGATGACTTCGTCAACCACTTTGAAAAGAAGGTTGACGACATCCGATCCTCGTTTGTTAAGT